TATGCAGCAAGCCAGATCTGAGAGGTGACCTCTTTTTCTCCTGCCGCCTTAGTGTCAGGAGGAGAAGCAGATAGCCTTTCTTTCCTTCTTGCTAACAAGTCTCTCCCTGGCAGGCTGTCAGCTCTTGGTCCTCACTTATAGCTGGCAGAAAGGACCAAGTAGCAGGTAATCAAATGAGCTTTGCTCTGAGTTACAGGGCATGGTAACATTATAGGGAAGCCAATTCTGGGCCTCTAGGCATTCAGACACTGCAGAATGCCCCCAGGAAGGTCCTGGAAGCAAACCGTTTTCTTTTTGGTAGAGTTTGCATCAACCAGCGTTAGTTTGCACAAATACCGTAAGTATTTGCCTTAGCTGATATTCTTCAGGTATTGTTTGTAGTTGAGAAATTTTTGGTTTTCCAACAAGAGTTTGCCAAATAAAAATATTATCTCCCCAAGTAGCAATAGCAATTGCTTAGGCCCATAAACACCAAGTCCACAACTGCAAATAATTCCATATAAGTATGAATATCAGTCCATAAATGCAGTGCTCATTATTTAGATCAACTTAATTTTGCACTTAAATTTTGCACTGAATTTTTCAGGTAAGAGAGTCTCGGAGCTATTCATACATGAAGTTTACTAAAAAACTATACTGTTCCTCCAACACCTTCCTCTGTCCCCCTCCAAAAACTGTTAGCACCCTGAAAGGTGATGGGGATCGTGAAGCCCAGTGACTTTGGGAGGCAGTGAAGGCTGTGAGGATGGTGTATGTCAGCACTACGGACGAAAGTGATACAAGCCCCTGGATGTGGAGCTACAAGAATGCACATCCTTAATGGCTCTCATCATTGCAATGAGGTTCTGAGGGCACATCCCTTTCCTTTCTGCAGAGTAGCACAAAGAGCACAGTCCTGGAGAAAGGGACACCATATTTCATCCCCATACATACTATCCTCTTTGGGCCTCAGCTCCTCTGCATATAAGTAAGGAGAACAAAAGTGTATTTGAAGACACCCAAAGCTCATGGAGCTTTATGACTGGAGCCTTTGATTTTTCCAGCCAATTAAAAGGGTTTTTAAAAATTATTAAAACCCAACTGAATCATTCTTTTGGAACTCAGAGGCTTTACCAACATAGGGGCCACTTCCCCTGCTCTGCTGCTCCTCCTGATCTACAGACTGTAAGGTGCAGAGAAGCCTCATGCTCCGTCTGAAGTGCACAGAGTAAAATGTCATGTAACGCAAGAATTAGACTCTTCCAAGAACAGCGAGGCCTCAGTTCAGTTCTTCACCCACCATCCTATGCATTCACACAGGCACGTACGAAGTCTCTGCTCAGCACCTCTGGGCCAGCCTGGGAGGCAAGTCCTCTCCCTAGAGAGAAGCAGTTCCACAGTGATATCTGAACACATTCCAACAGCACATGTTTATCTTCAGGGTCAGCCTTTCCGGTTGATGCTCAGGAGGCATGGGGGAAGGGAAGGAGATGAGGATAACGGCCATTGGCAGCCACAGGGGTAAGGAAGGAGAACAGTGGGGACATGAGCCTCACCCTTGGGAGAATGCTGTTATGCCGCACTTTCCAGATGGTGTGTGGCCTCGTATCTCTTTCCTCATATCAGGATGAACTCCCAGCTCTTCTGTTGCCAGTGGACATGAGAAGATGGACAGACACCACCTCACTCGGGGGCATGTCTTTCAGAGCAGGCTGACTTGGTGGGTGGGGACCTTCAGGTGGGGCCATAGCATCTGAAGCCAGGAGAATGGCAGTTACCATTGTTTCATTCAGGACCTAAGCTCTGCTGGGACACAACTGGTTCTGCCTCTTTCTTCCTGCTCATCCACAGTTGCCAAGACCTTCAGGCTCTTGCAGCAATACAAGGGACCACTCTTTCTGACTATACTGGTGCAAACTCTACCTGTTTGACACCTTTGGACTCAAAAGGTTCCAGGAGTGCAACTCCTCCCTCATGAAAAGTGGCCACCATCTACCTATCCCTACTAGCTGGGGACAAACACCCAGGCGCCTCTGAAAGTTCCATTCCAGTTCTGGATGGCTTTGAGAAAGTATGCTGGCAACCAATCTCAAGACCTCTGATTTCTTTACTTTTTTTTTTTTTTTTCTTTTTGAGGCAGAGTCTCACTGTGTATTCTAGGCTGGCCTTAAACTCACTATGTAGCCCAGGCTGGCCTTGAACTTGCAGTGATCCTCCTGCCTCAGCCTCATGAGTGTTGGGATTACAAGCGTGCACCACCATGCCTGGCCTTTATTTACTTTCAAATGAGATACTTTTATTCTTTCTCCAGACTGGGGAGGAGGGTGGAGGCTGAGCCATCTGATTCTTCTTCAGAGAAAATGAATCATGTCCCCCAACCCCCATCTTCAGCCCAGGAATATTTATCAATGTTTATATAACCATGGCAACAGGCTTCATTCTTTGTCACTTAAACCCTTTTGAAAAAGGAATAGCAAAAGGTAGGTTTTTTCCTACTCCTCCCTCCTACTTTGCCCAAAGAAAAGCTACATCTTCAGAAAAAGATGAGAGTGGGTGACACTGGCCTTCTCTTGGGTTGCAATGGCCCAGCATCACGAAAGGATTTCAGAGTGTGTCAGTACTTGCCTTCCAAAGTCCTGAGGGAACCATATAGTAATTAATATATGCATTTCTGATTTGTCTAGGATCTTTTTTTTTCTAGGACCCCCCCCCTTTTTTTTTTAGCTCTGCACTGAGGCTAGGTTCTCATTTTTTTCTTGCCAATCTCTTTTACCTTAAAAGCGACTGGAATGTGAGCTGCCTTTATTAACTATGCATTCTTCATCTGTAAGGTAGGGTAAATGCCCTTGTCCTGACTGCTTTGCAGATGCTTGTCAGAAGAGAGTTTTGTAAAGAGTTAGGCTCACACAGATTTAACTATAAGCAAGGGAAACTGAGGCCCAGTAAAAGGAAAGCATTTGTGAAGGGTACTGTGCTGTCAACAGTACAAAAAACCTAACCACACCCAGTCCTAGGTTCTAGCAAGGTATCAGCTTGCTTCTCTTTTTTTGCTGTTGTTGTTGTTTGTTTTTTTTTTGGTACCAGGGATCGAACTTGGGTCCTTGCGCTTGCGCAGCAGGCAATGAAACCACTGAGCTAAAATCCCCAGCCTGAGCTTGCTTCTCTTGGGGTTTTAACAGTAGCCAGGCTCCAGGAGTATTCCAAGAGGATTCCAGCCCTGAGGTCTCAGGGATGGAGAAAACCAGAGCATAAATGTAACTCCAGAGACTATGTTAGCCACAGATCCACGAATGTTTACTCAGAATGTTTACTCAGCGTTTCTTACACAGGCCCCTTTGCTGCAGGCTGGCTGTCTCAATGGTCGAAGCAAGGCCCTCCGGGTGGTTTTTCTCTCCAGGCAAAGGAGTCTCCATCCCAATCCCAGAGTATTTAACTCCAGATCTTTTTCCACTGAGCCAAAAACTAGCTCTGTCTTCGGGGGGTGGCTGCCACTCTGCACACGCCACAGTTCCACCGAGAAAGGTCTCGTGGAACGCTTCCGCTGGGAGGGAAGGTGGACGATGCTGGGACCTGCAGAATAGACTCACCGCTAGCCAGGGAAGAAAAAGGACATAAATTTTGGATTTTGCCAGCGAGCACTGGAAACGCCGGAGTAGACTCGCAGCTCCATTGTGCTGCCCTCGAGTTTTCTGCAGGTGTGACTGTGAACACAGCGAGGTGAGCGCAGGCCCGTGGGCTGGGAGAGAGTCACGGAGACGCTGGCTTGGACGGGGTCCTGCCCGCCTGTGCTTCCCTTTCCTCTTTCTTGTCCTGTTCCACTTCTCCCCCCTTCTCCATTCCTCCCTCCTGTCTTTTTCTTCCATCTTTCTAATGTTAGCAGAAATTGATGCTCTTGGCTGACACAGCAGAATGATCACAGCGCCTGCGGTCTCCCTTTGCGCCCTCGCTCGCGTCCTTAGGGTTCTATCCTACGTAGAGCCCTAAAATCCCCCGTTAATTACCTTGAAACAATACCTCGCTAATTTCCCTAATTACTCTAGGCCCTGGCCCGAGCGTGCAGCGGCCGGCGGGCCTGGTGCGGGGCTGGGCTGCGAGGACCCTGTGCAGCCCTCTGTGACAGCGCCTCTCCCAGCCCCAGCGGAGCTCGCACACCTCAGGCGCCAGGCTTTGCCTGCCGACCGGCCTCCGAGCTTCTTCCCTTCTCGACCTAACAAAGGCCAGCACAGGCGGAGTCTTGGAGAAAGCAAGGCTTGTTTCTTCACTCCCTGCGGGCGCTTCTGAAAGCAGCCCCCATCCATCGCCCTGTTTTGTGTTTTCATTAAAATCACTTTCTGGGATTACCGTGTTTATTTTTACCTGTTTGCCTTATCTCTCTTTCTCCTCCTTTGTAAGTTCTTGAGAGCGGAGATCTATCCCGGCTTCCTCTGTGTCTCCAGACCTACAACCTTGCCCGGAGCGCAGCAGACACTCTATCGACGGCTTCGTGGTGAGTTCTGGGACCGAGGGCGATTTCTCTGCCCCGCTCGGGAGGGTGGGCTGGGAGGACCGTACACTGGGAGAAACGAAGTGGAGCCACACGCACAGCGTCCTCTTCGGAAAAAAGGGAGCTTCTGAGGGACTTGAGGGGGCGGGTAGGAGAGGAGCTCCTCTGATAGGAGTTGGAAAGGTTAGTGGCCTGCGCCCTACGGCCTCGTACTGAAACGCAGTAGTGCCCCCAGCCTTAAGATTGAGCTCTTCTCGCCGCGCCTGCCTGGCAAGCGCAGTCTTGAGTTCGATCCGCCGTACCGGAAAAAAAAATAAGAGTGAGCTCTCCCTTTACACAGTTGACGGGGTGCTTTGTTGGGGGCGCTGGCCCGGTCTGGAGTCACGCCCCCCCCCCCCCCCAACCCCCCCGCCAGCTCCGCAGTAGTAGCTGGGCTCCAGAGCCCTGGGAGCCCGGCCCACCCGCCGCTGCCCACCCCGCGCCTCCTGGACCGCTCTTCTCATTGGCTGAAGACATCCCCCCTGAGTTCTGATTGGCTGCCCCACTTTTCCCTCCGCCCTGAGCACCGACCGCACGCGGCGAGCTGCCGGGACTCTGCTCCGAGTCGGTTTTAAGAGCAAAAAGCTAAGCTTAGCGCTGCCAGGGGCGCGGGCGCACGTGCGGGGCGAGGAAGTTGCCCAGCGCGCGGTTTGCAGGGGGCTCGGAGTTCTCACCCGAGGACTCGCTCGTGGAGCCGTGCCTGGCAAATGGGCGCATGAGGAAGAACAGGGAAATGGACTGCTATTTGCGTCGCCTCAAACAGGAGCTGGTAAGAGCCGAGCCGACGGCGCGGGCAGGCGGGGCTCTTCTGCCCCGACGGGTAGCTGGCTCCGGCCCCAGGCCCCGGGGAGCCAGGACTTGTGCGGGGCGAGGAGGACCGGAGCGGAGAGAGCACGCTAACTGGCAGGCAGAAGGAGGACCTGTCCTCGGGGAAAGGGCCACGAGGAAACTTCGGGTGGAGAGTTGTGATGATCAGGGCGAGTGACAGACCGAGAGCAACCAACCAGGCCGAAATGTGACCCAGAGAAACCAGGGGCGAGAGTGCGTACCCACAGACGGACAGGAACACTGACCAAGCCAGGCTAGGGCGCCGCCGACATCCCAGGAGCGGAAGCGACAGGCCCGAGGAGCAGCCGGTCCCCCGTGCCCGGACCGCGCTGGTCTCCCTGGAGCGCAGGGCAAGCGGGGCCGGAGCGTGCGGAGGCCTCATCCCTGCTCGGGCAGGAGGTCACCTGGGACTGCTGGGGGGGGGGCGGGGGGGAGAGATCACCTGGAACCCCCGCTCGAGGGGAGCTGGCACCGCCCCGGGCCCCCAGCTCTGCCGGGCCGGGCTTGGCAGAGGTGGCGCGGCTGCGGGGGCAGGCTTGGCCGGCTGTCTGCCCGGGCTTGTCTGCCAGCAGGGAGGGGGCTGGCAGCTGTAATGACGCGGGAAGGCCCTGCGCGGGAGGAGGGCCGCCGCCTGGCTGATCGCAAGCTGGAGTTGTAGAGGCCCAGCCAGATGTCAGGTCTGGGCTTGGAGAGAGTGCAGGGAACGTGTGTGCGGAGGCCCCGGGGTGCTGGGGCTGGGAGAAGTAGCTTAGTCTGGGGAGGGGGTGAATCATCGAACTGGAGGTAGGAGGGGATGACTGGAAAGTGCTAAGGAGGGCCGGGTTGATTCTCACCGACTCCGTACACCACCTGCCTCCCTCCTCACTCCCCCTTCTGCCTTTATTATTCCTTCAACCCCCAGAATTCAGGCAGATACTAAGCATATACACCTCCTTCTCTCCTCTAACAGTCTCTCTCTTGTGTCTTTGTTTCTGCCTCTGACTTTGTCTCTTGGTTTCTCTCTGGTAGTTTCTCTTTGGTCTCACTTTGCTCCTCTCCTTTCTTTACAGAGCCAGGGCACCCAGGTGCATAGCACAGGCCTGGATCCAGAAAGCGCCAGCTCATGGCTGTCCAGATTCCATGACAGCTTTCCACTTCTGCCTGCAAGAGGTCTACTCTTCCCTCTCGGGAGGGAGGGAACTTGGCAGTGTGCTAGGGCCAGCTTTGAAGGGGGAGTGAGGACTGAGCTTTAAGTGGCAGGTGTTCTCATTGATACTTCCTGACCTGACAGAGTCGCCCTGGCACCCTTCCTGTCTGCCTTCTCAGGTTAATGATCATTTCTCTAGTCCTTTTTCCTGAAGCCCTTTCTGAGGTGACAGTTATGAAAGTTACTGGTCCACAGAAATATTTCTTTGGTGAAACCCAAAGTGTCTTTTGCTACCCTTCTTAACCTATATCATGCCCCTCCTGTACTACTAGTTTTCACATGCGTCTCATGCTGGGATGGTGGCCACTGCCCACACGCACACAGCTCTCATTTTTCCCATTCTCATGTCCAGTACCAGAAAGGAGAACAAGATCATCACAATGTCTGAGGTCCAATGTCCATGCTGAGGAGAGAATCTAATAGAATCCTCTTCTTTGTGCTTAGAATAGGGGCCCACACCACCCACATCAGGCTCTGCCTAAATGGAGGGTTTGTGGGTGTTCCTGGCATGGGCTCGAATTTTAAAATCCTACTGATTTGCATTTTATACAGCACCCTAGGTGGGAGGTGGTGAGGGGAAGAAGACAGTCTGTGGATGCCAGAAGAATAAAAAAAGGCAAATAGGAATCTGCACTGAGCTGAGCTCCAGATCTTGATTTGCACCCTCTCTGCCAAGGCCACAGGCCCCAGTGCCTAGGAGAAGGAAGGGGAGAGGCTGAAGTCACCCTGCTCCCCATCAGCTTTCATTTGGCCTTTTGTCTGAGTAGTTCCAGCCTTTGACTCTTGGAGAGGAAGCCAAAAGCCTGGCCTGGGGCCCAGAATGACACTTAGATGGGAGAGGACTGTACCCCTCCCTGTGGTCTCCACCCTCTCCCCAGGGCCAGCCAGAAAGGAGACCACAGAGGTATTTGAGTCTTACTCTCTGACACCTCAACCTCAAGGCTTAGGTAGCAGGACCAAATCTAAGTGCCTCCAGTGGAAGCAAAGGGGAAGGTAGTGCTGAGCCCAGCCCTACTAAGGACTGCAGGAATTGAATTAGACAAAGCTTGGCTGTGGCTGGGACAGGGAGGTTTTGGCTTGTTTATACCCCAGGGCTGCAACGAGGTGGGACAGGCATATAGTTGGTTTACATCATGAGCTGGGGCGGGGTGGGCTTTTGCACTGCAGAGTCTTTCATCCCAGGCAGGATTTCTGTGCCTCCCAGGAGCATGGTACCCTAAGGTGGTTTGTGCCCAGGAATGGCCTCCTGTAGTAGTGCTCATCCTGCATCATTTCAAACATCCTGCAGACACTGTGGGGATAAGACTGCTGCAAAAGGAAGTACTAACAGATTGTGAAATTATCTTTATCCAGGGTGTTCTCTGCTCTCCTCCTCATCCTGGTCCTGTCCTTGGCCCAGAAAATATAGACAACAGTCTGTTCCTAAAACCCAAAGTAGCAGAATTTCTCAGTTTCTTGAAACAAAATTTGCATTGTAACAAATAGGCACTGGGAAGAGGCTAAAAGTTCAGGGATCCTGGCTCAATTAAGTTGATGGCTAGAGAGCAGGCCCTGCCTCCAGCCTGGAAGGGTAGGGGGTCAGGTTTCAGGGATGAAATGTGGCTAGAGAAGTAGCAGCAGCTGACACTTCTTCATTAAGATGAGGGAGTTGGGGCTGCAAGGACTCAGCAGGGAGCACACTCTTTCCCCTTCCAGCCAAAGAGGGGCCCTGCCTGAACACAAGGCCTTGGGACCACCTGTTCCTTACACACAGCTCCCTTGTGGGCTTCCAACAAATGGGACAGACACAGACATGTCGAGGAAGCAGACGTAAGATGCCCACAGGGCATTCCTCCTGAATTCAGGTCAGTGTAGAACAGATAGAATACATAAAGCCTGAGTGATCAGGACTCATAAAATACAGCCAGGTCAGGAAGGCTTCCTGGAGGAAGAGGAGGCTGGAAGAGCCATCTTCTGGAATGTCCATCCTAGGTGAGACATGGGGAAGCAGCAGAGTCTCTCAGACGGAGGCAGCCCTCCTAGGCAACCTGGTGTTCCCAGAAGGTACTTCTCTATTCTCTAGTCTTTAGGAACCAGGATCTAAAGGCAAAATGAAGAGAAAGGGAGATAAGGAGTTACAGTAGGAACAGCTTTTAGCTTGGAGTAAAAGAACATTTCCTTAGGCAGAAATAAAGCTTTTGCAAAGGGTCTCAACCTAGTTGCCTTGCTGTTTAAAGCTAAGAGGAAGGGGGTTTTTGTGCCACTTAGACGAGGATCAGTTAACAGAGCATGGAGCGTGGGATTTGAGTCAGGCCAACTTGAACATGGCATATTATTTAACCTCTCCCTGCCTTGGTTTTTTCATCTCTAAAATGGAATTTTAAAAATACCTATTTCAAGCTGGGCCTGGTGGGTGGCACAGGCATATGATCCCAGCTCTCTGGGAGGCTGAGGCAGGAGGATCCCAAGTTTGAGCCCAGCCTGGGCAATAGAGCAACTTAGGGAGACCCTGTCTCAAAATAAAAATTAATCTGCTGGGGTTGTAGCTCAGTATAAAGTCTCTGGGTTCAATCTTCAGTATTGAAAAACAAAAGCAAAAACAAAAAACCCCAAATCATACAGCTACTGTGAAGATCAAATGACAGTGTAAGTAAAGCATTTCCCCGCCTGTATGTCTTTATCACATACCACAGTGCCTGATATATTGCAGGGACTTGGTAAACTCTTTTTTTTTTTGGTACCAGGGATCGAACTCGGGACCTTGTGCTTGGGAGGCAGGCAGCAGAACCTTTGAGCTAAATCCCCGGCCCTGGACTTGGTAAACTCTTGAGGTTGGGTTGACCAGACTGGTTTCCCTAAGAGTCATTTATTCACAGAACACAGCAGTTACTGAGATCTAATGTATTTAAGGCACTAACTACACACTAGTGCTGTGGTCACAAAGATAAACAGATACAGAGCCTGTCTTCAAGGAACCTACGGTTTAATAGAAAAGATAATAACATGTGTTGATGTTTACATTAATATGCCAGCATATAATGTATTATGTTGTTTAATTGCCAAAGCAGCACTAAGAAGTTGTACTTTCTTTATTTCCATTTTAAAACTCAGAAAATAGAAACATGAGGAGGGAAAGTGACTAGGCCCAAGTCATCGAGTTGAGAAATGGCAGAGGTTAGATTCAGACCCAGTCATCCTGACTATAGATCTTATGTGACAAACCTGTGGAGTAAAGGTATGCAAACCTCTAGTACACAAATTGAGGACATGTGCTGTATAAGGTGCACAGGCTCAGTGCCCTGAGAAGGGAAAAGTGACCTCTACCCAGAGAGCAAGCTTCCTGTTGTGGATAAGGGAGCATGTGAGCTAGACACTGAGGAATAAACAGGGTTGTGCACAGGAGAAAAACAGCATTCTGGGCAGACAGTGAGACATGAACAAAAGGCACAGAGCAGAAGTAGTACAGATGTCTGAAGACCAGTTTGAATGTGTGTGGAACATAGGGCATGTACAGAGAAATGGTGGGCAACAGCACTGAAAGGGTTGTTGAGGGCAGACTCTGCAGGTCCTTGAATGTTATGCCAAAGAGTCTGACCTCTTCTGTGTTCATTGGTCAGGGATATGCGCTGGGACCTAGGAAGTGATGTGGAGTGGAGGAGGGGAGAGGGAGGAAATTGAGCTAGGAGAGTGAGTTAGGTGGTTATCATAAGGATCTAGACAAGAGTATGAAGCCCTGAACCAGGAAGGAGAAAAGGTAGGTAACTTCATGAGGTCTCTTGGTTTCCAAGGAATTTGATTGATTGCAGGAGAGAGGAGCTAAAGGTCAAAGGGAAGAGGAATTGCTGAGGCCTAAGGACAAGCCCCTCAAAGAAGTAACTACCACTGGCTCTCTCTTTCCATTGTCTCTCTGGCCTGAACATGTGAGCCTCAGTAGAGGGTTCAGTTAGGCAAGTAGGTTCATCATTTCACATCTCTCACTTCCTCCTTTACCCTTCTCCCTCCTACAGCTCTTGGCACAGTTTCCGAGTTACCTTCCTGTTAGGAATCCCAGCCAAGAGCCAAGAAGGTCCCTATTCACTGAGCTGGAGAATGGGCCTCTTGGCAGAAACAGGGCTTTTCCCATTTCCGGCCCTAAGCCTCCTCAGTAGCTTCCTCAGGGACTGAAAGGAACTGTATGGGGATCTTGTGAGAGATGGGGGTGGGGAAGTGAGGCAGGGCGCACTGCCAGTTCCATGTGCAAAGCGGAGCCTGTGTCAAAGGGTTCTGGCTGAGTGGGAGAGGGCCTGAGATGGATGGATGGAGGGCACAGCTGCAGGATCAGTCAGGGGCCCAGGCCAGGGCTTGGGAAGGGAGCCGAGGATGCTGGCACCTCTTCTTCCATCCCCACTCCTCCCACACTACAAAGGGCCCAGAGAGTGTGCACCACTGGGGGTAGGGGGACTGCCCATGGACAGCTGACCCCAGACTGCCCTGCTCCAGCTGTGGGATCTGGTGTCTCAGTGGCATCTGCCCCTCTGGCCCCAGGCAGGCAGCTCCTCTTCCCTCATCCCTCAGTGAAGAGGAGCCTTCAGTGGGAAGGAACTGAATTGGTTCTCAGAGGCCCTCAGAGGACGGTTTCATGTTCTTCCCCATCTGGTGGTAAAGGCCACTGACTGGCCTGGTTTCTTCTCACTATTACCCCATGATGCTGAATGGTCAGGGATTATGATGGCACAAAAGCTCATTGTCCTGGAGGAAGGGAGCCAGCCTTGGGGGTCTCAGCCTTCCCACTGACAGCTTCAGGACCTCAGGAGCTAGAGCAATGTTTCTCTTGGTGGTGACCAAGGCAGCATATATTTATAGCTACTGTCTATTTATGGCAAGCCATATGCTTTAAATGCAGATTCCTTTATGAACACATTTCTTTGCATTTAAATAAAATATTAAACAGAAGTCTGGATCACGTGTAGATATGGTGAAAATAATGACAGCCCATTGGGGAATGTTTGGGTAACACAGAGAGATGATCTGAGAGGATCGCTAGTTTCCTAATCCATAAAGTGGGGCCTACTCCACCTGCCTAGCCAGCCTCCCAGAGCAAGTGTGGGGCTCAGGCAGTGTGAAAGAACATGTGCCAAACACATGGGAGGGCCTATTATTCACAGATTCAGAACCCAACGCATAAAAGGATATTGAATTTGCCCAATGGCAGGTGGCCAAGTTAGCTGGGGCCGAGGTCAGTATGAGACCTAGCCAGCTAGGGCTCCAGACTACCGTGTGGAGCTCTCTCCCACACCAGGTGGGAACTGGCAGCCACACAGCTCCAAATACAGAGTACACCATATGCTGAGGTAAACCTCAGCGAGCCAAAGTTTCTTGTGCAGAAAATGTTTAAGATGAAACTGAGTTCTAGAAGTTGCAAGGGATGGGAGCTGGACTGAGGGGTGATGTGGAGGCAAACAGCAGGGTCACCGAGGGCCTTTCTTAGAAAGGATTCCCATGATATTCACTGGGATATGATTATTAAAGGCTTTGCATTTGATGGTGGGTAGTTCAGTCTCACATGTGGACTTGAAAGGGAGGTGGCTGTTAGATCCATTCCTACTCAAACTAATCAGGTCCAATCGGACCCTCTAGGTAACACCTGAAAGCAAGTAGGATAAAACTGTTCTGAGGAAGAACCTGAGGCTCAGAGATATCAGGAGGCAAGAGGAACTCAGAAGCTTCTAGCTTGGAGACTGGGATTTAGAGATGTTTACTTCTGGCTCTGTCTGAGCTGGCTCCACTCCTTAGCTCCCACTCAGACTGCTCCCTCCTCAGTCCTGCAGCACAAGAAGCCCAGATCAGAGAAGGTCCCACGCTCTAGGTGAAGATAGCAGCTTGGCCCCAGGCTTTTCCTCTGGGGCTGACATCATCCCCTTGGGGATGGTGGGAAAGGCTGTCCTGCTGGCTTCCCTCTCCATCAAGACCCAGGGGATGCTTCTGCTCCCACTGCCGCTGGCCTCCCAGTTTCCCACAACTCAACTTCCTTCTTCCATTCTCATCCCTCTCACAGCTGCCTCCAACCCCTTCTGTGCCTGCTAGCTAGCACCTGCCCGTGGCTGGGCTGAGGTCAGCGTGAGGGTGGGCAAGAGGATGCCCAGGCTTCCTCTTCCTTCCCCTCATCTTCCCCTGCATGGGGCAGGGTTGGGGGAAGAAGGGACAGGACAGGAGTGTGTTTCCCTTATCCTGTCATTACTATGAAGTTCATTTTCAATGAGGAAAAAGTGTTCTGGAAGTACACAGGAAGCCTTAAATGAACAGCTAGCATTCACCTAAGCCTTTCTTTGTGCCATATAGGGGTACAGATTACCTCATCTAATCTGCATAATAGTTATATAAGACAGAAGCTATCATTCCCATGTTAAAGAATGCAGAAATTGAAAAACAATTTAACCTGCCTAAGTCACATAGCTACTACATGGCAGAACTGGGATCTGAACTCTATTCCTTTTGTTCATAACCAATACAGAATATTACTTTTAACATGGGTGCAATTTCAGCCCTTGTTTTCTTAAATGGGGCCTCTGTTTTATGGACAGCCGTGAATTCATGCATACCCACAGATTCATTCTCGCTGGAAAACTTGTGCAAAATGTCAGCATTATTTCTTATGGATTTTTCCATACTGGATAAAACTGAATGGGGTCATTTCATTCCTCCCACTGCCTCTGACCTGGACTGTGTTTTGCCTTCTGGAAGGAAGCCTGCCAGCGCAGACTTCTTGCTGCTTGGTGAAATGAAACCTTGGGAAATGGCTCTCTCTCCCTCTTCTATCTCATCTCTGTGTAGCAAGTGGTTGAAGGTAGCAAGAAGTCTGAATGGATGATCTGCGGGTTGGGGGGCAGTCAGTAGGACTCAGTGTATGGTTTATGGGTATGTAACAAGTGCCAGCTAGGTTCTGGGTACAGACCTCATTCTCTGCCTTCCAGTAGCGCTCAATAAATATTTCATGAGCAGCTGGGCATTTTAAACTTGTGGAGGACATGGGGGCAAGTACATAAGCAGCAGGACTTTAGGGACGAACATCTTAAAGATTACAGACAAGGCCCCCACAGGAGCATGACAAGTACATATAGGGGATAGAGACACGCCCAGAATTGAAAATCCTGTCATGGCCTGGACTGCAGACTAGATTAGATTTGAGCCTCTCAAGGCTGTACTTTCAGGGATCATTTCTATAGTTGCTTACTAGATTTGAGTCTCTGGGCAATGGAGGGCCGCTGAGTAAGGTGACTGGAAGTGTGTGTCTGAGAAAACTGCTCAGGGACTCATGTCTGGTAGTCCAGAGGCCTGGTCCTAAACAAGGGTTCTGCAGCATTTCAGGGGATGGAGGGAGAGGTGCGACACATCCAGGAGAGGACTCCAACACGGTACATGATTAAGTTGGGTGGGGAAGGGATGACTGAGTGAAGAAGCCAAAAATGTCTCTTGAGGTTCCGGGCAGGTGTGACAGGAAAGTGAACTGGGGGACAGGGAAAAATAGGGGAGTCTGGGAGACACGGTTTGCCAGGAATGAACTGAGCTTGGTTTGGGGCTTAGAGTCTCCTCTAGTGCTGTCCTGGCTCTCAGCAGCTGCAGCTGAGTACTTCTGAAAGGAAGGGTCCAGAAGGCAGAAGCAAAGAGGCCAGGGCAAGGGCCATCGACAGCAGGCGTAGCCACCCATGTGCTCTGTGTTTCTTGCTGCCGCCACCACCACTCAGACTCCTGTACTTGCACATGTGCATCCCAGGGCTGTCAGAGCCTGAACCACCATTTCTTTCCCCACCTTGGGAAGGGGCACAAAGCTTAGGCAATCTTCACACTCCAGCGAAAGCCTCCTTCCTCTAAGGGGTATTAGTCCTCCACTGTCCCTTAGTGTTGCTGGCTCACTGAGAACCTGTCTAGGATGCCCCTCCCTGCCAGGGCCAGGGTTGGCAGGGGAACACTGGACCCAGAAGCTTGAGACAGTCAGCTGCCAATCCAGCCCAGCCCTGCAGAGCTTCCCTGCCTGCCCTGTCAGCTCCCTACCCGCCTGCCCTCCAGGCTTAGCTCTGAGCATTAAGACAGGAGGTAAGATGATCCTGTGGGTCTCTGGGGGGCTTAAGAAACAGATGGTCCCCAAACTTGAAGCTTGCTGTGAGTAACTTGATCAGGATCTGGGGAGGGAGCTGGCAGGACTAAGGCAGCTTGGACCCAGGGAGAGTGAACCTTGTGAATTATCAGACAGAGCCTCTCCTCCCCAGCCTCCAAATGTGGCCCTCACCCAAGTCAATCTCTCAGCCCCTTCCAGATGGCACCTGAGACTCTGTCCTAAGAAACCCAAAAAGGGTCTGGAAGAACTGGCCCCAGGCTCCCTGCTCTTGCTTGGCCAGTGCAGTCCAGCCAGTCAGCCTGAGAAGGCACCAGGTGTGCTGGAGCCACGTCTGAGGGCAGCTGAGGGAGGTGTTTTGGAGGGAGAGACAGGCTGGGAAGAGCTAGGCGAGGGTTTCCAGCAAGTGGCAATTTCCTGGCCTCCTTATTTCTCTACTGGCCAGTCAACCCCTCTCCTTGCTGTGCAGAAGACACAGTAGCCTTAAAGCCAAGCCCCTGCCCAGCCACATGCAGGCCATGCTTGGTAGTTAGGACTACAGCCTCTGGGGTGAGTCAGTCCTATATTTTAGTCCCAACTCTATGAACTATGCGACCATAGGTGAGTTACTTCACCCCTGCCACAGTTTCTCCACTTGTTAAACTGAGAACAGTAATAGCAACCTCAGTTCATATAAAGATGAAATGAGATGATTAATGAAACTCGCATAATTTCTGTCACATAGTAAATGCTCACAAATCATTGCCTCCATCAGAGAGAGAGAGGGCTCAGACAGCAAAAAGATAAGCTTGGCTGCCATAACTTAGGGCACCCTCAAACTGGTCTCAGCAGTATCTTCTACCACTTAATCTTGGAAAAGTAACTTATGTGCCTCAGCTTTCTTATCTGTCAAATGAGAAGGACAAGAGTCACTACCTCACAGGGTAGCTGGGGGATTAAATTTATATTAAGTTACATGTTACACACACACACACACACACACACACACACACACGCATGCTCGCGCGCGCAGTCCCTGACATAGATTTTGAACTTTCCCATGGTATGAAAGTGTACTCATTTTTCTTTTCTTTTTTCCCCCCTTTTTCATGTATGCAGTACATTACATGAGATATTCAACACCTCCTTATAAAACAGGCTTTGTGTTAGATGGTTTTGCCCAACAATAGATTAATGTAAATGTTCTGAGCACAGTAAGTTAGGCTAGGGCCAGCTGTGATGTCTGGTAGGTTAGGTATATTAAATGCATTTTCAACTTACATGGGTTTACTTGGTCATCATACCATCCTAAGAGGAGCAGCATCGGTGTGGCTCTTAGGACAGTGCCTCCCTCTGTTAGTTTGTTGCTATTAACGCCTTTTCCCTTATCTAGCTTTAGCAACATTAAAATCTGTCCCAGCAGGAGCTTCACTGAACAGGGTAGCTCACTGGCTGATGCTTTCTCTCTCCCCTTCAGATGTCCATGAAGGAAGTGGGAGATGGCTTACAGGATCAGATGAACTGCATGATGGGTGCACTGCAAGAACTGAAGCTCCTGCAGGTACAGACTGCACTGGAACAGCTGGACATCTCTGCCGGGGATCCTGTACCAGCCTGCCCTGAAAGTCCCCGGACACAGCCCAAGTGCCCCCACTGGGAAGGTGGCAGAGATCCAGCCAGGCCTGTGGTCTGCTCCTCCCCCTCCATCCACCCTTCTCTTGGCAGCAGCACCAAGTTTCCGAGCCATAGGAGGGTCTGTGGGAGGGATCCCAACCCCCTGTCCAGGACACAGCTGCCGGAGCACCAAAGCTGTGCCCAGCGGGGGCCAGAGTGGGTGGAGCCAGATGACTGGACCTCCACATTGATGTCCAGGGGCAGGAACCGGCAGCCGCTGGTGTTAGGGGACAATGTTTTTGCGGACCTGGTGGGCAACTGGCTAGACTTGCCAGAAGTGGAGAAGAGTGGGGAGAAGGGTGAGACTGGGGGGCCGGGTGAGCCCAAAGGAGAGAAAGGCCCGCCCCGGGAGCTGGGCCGCAAGTTTGCTCTAACAGCAAACATCTTTAGGAAGTTCTTGCGTAGTGTGCGGCCTGACCGTGACCGGCTGCTGAAGGAGAAGCCAGGCTGGGTGACACCCATGGTGTCTGAGTCCGAGTCCCAGTCCCAGTCCCGGACTGGACGCTCCCAGAAGGTCAAGAAGTGGAGCCATTCCAAGGGCTCTGGGCGCTTCCCCTTCCCAAGTGCAGGGAAGGCCAGACAAGGGGGAAATCCCCACACAAGCAGCCCCAAGGCCGTGGAACCCTCACCTTCGGGCTTTGATATTCACACAGCTGTTTGGGTCTGAATCCTAGCTGGAAAGTTGACTGAACCCAAAAGACCAGTCCCTCTGCTGGGCCCCTGGGGAGGAGGGGGGCGGGTGGTGTGGCTGTTAGAAGCCCAAATCCAAGTTCCTTTCCTTCAGAAAGGGGAGAGAAGCCAGAGTTCTGGGGCAGGGCTGACTGGAATGCAGTTGGGAGAGGCTGTCACAGGGTTGGCAGGGGGAGGAGGGACAGCTCCTAGAAAAAAACTGTGTGTGTGTGTGTGTGTGTGTGTGTGTGTGTGTGTGTGTGTGTGGCTCACTTCAGGGCTGCAGGTGACAGTAGGGAAGGGACAGGGGAGATCATGAAATCCTTCTGACATTCCCCCACTGCCCTCAAAGACCTCAAGTGAACATTGTGTGTGGAAAAGGGCACTGGGGCCCCCAATAAAGGGCTGTCTCTGGTGCCCCCAACCTTAGAGCTGTCTGCTTTCCTGGCAAGGCGCTGCTGCAGGCACAGGGACTGAAGCCCAGATCTGTTACCTGCTCTCTGGGGGTCAGAGCAGCCTTCCCTGTTGCCATAGAGATTTCAGCCACTCCAGGATCCTGGGAAATGGGCTGAATAAGGAGGGCAGTGTATCATGAGTAGCGGGGGCGGGGGGACGGACCCGGGACCCCCCTCCTGTGTTATGTGTGGGGTATAGATGTACAGCGCTCTGCACGTTCGAAAGCCTCTCACACCTGTGCTTTCTTGTAAGTGGGCAAGCGAGGCAGGCACCATCAGATATGCTACCTGTCCCAAAACACAACACTGGCAGGCGGGAAGAAGGGCAGTGGAGGCCAGCGCCCGCAGTTACACACTCTGCCCCTAACCCCCCGTAGCTCTAGGAGCCTCCGCCCAACGCTCTGTCTGTGGCTCCTAACTCCCTCCTAGGGCAGAACGCGTACATTCGCCAGCAGGGTGAAGGGGCGAGCACACTTCAGTCCCAGTGCTGTCCCTCGGCCCTTCGGCACTAGCGCGGCCCTAGCCTCCTCTTCCCTCCTCACCCGGAGCCCGTAGGGGCGCCTAGGGGCAGAGGCTCCCGAACGGCGGCCTCTCTTCCTGAAGCCGCTCCGGGGGGTGCGGCGCGGCGAAACGCCCGTGCCCCGTGCCCTCCGGCGGGAACTCTCCTGCCTGGACCTCGTCTGCCTTGGCCGAGCCCCCAGGAGGGCGCGCCCTTGCTGCTCGTTCTCCCCTCCAGGCCGACCGCCGCTCAGCCTGAGGGGGGTGACAGCTGCAATTCGGGGCAGGACGACTTCTTCCCCTCTCTAAACCCTGAGAACAAACTGAAGAAGGGAAATAACAAGTAAGATTCCTGCCCGCAGCCTAGACCGCCAGGGAGTAGAGATTAGATTAGAGAGGAGTTAGAGTTCGAGTTGGGGGGAGGGCGCAGAGGGGGTGGTGAAGGGTCACCCTTGAGTTCCCACACAAATGGTAGACAGTTTTTGGCTGAGTAAACTACCGCAGGGAAAGAATGGCGCTTTTTCTGAGCACTCGCTATTTGACAGGCAGTGTGGACAGCTCTTTCAAACCTGGAATGACCCTGGAGGGTATTGTACTCCAGTTACACCAAGGGAGGCTTGTAGGGGTCGTGGGAGCTGCCCAGACCAGCCGGGCAGCAAATGAAAGAACCAAGGTTTGAGCCAGAGGGTTATCTAGCTCCCAAAGCCCAGCCCTTCCCTCTCTACCTCTTTGCTCTGAGTTTGCCGAATAAGCTCACTCTTTCTGCAGGTGCCCATCCTATGTCTCCCTAGAGAACTCTGCCAGTTCACTGTCTGGTATGGGAAGTCAGCTGTGGCTGCCTTTGGTGGTGGTGGTGGTGTGTGTGTGTGTGTGTGTGTATGAGCAGAATGGACAGTGAAGAGTCCTGACAGATTCGCTGGTCCCGCCCGAGAGGAGGGGGCCACCGGCACATTATTCAAGATGACACCTGCTTCAAGTCTGGAATGACTGTATATAAAACCAAGCCACCTGTGACTCATCTGTTTCATAGCCTGGTTGTGGCAGTAAACAAAACTTTTTTAGATACCTCCCAGTACCTGGCATTGTGATTGGAACTAAGAGCAGTATGATGAAAAGAACCCACCTACTAACCTCAAGGATCCAGTAAAAAAAGAAAGAAGCAAACTCTTATTAACCTTCACTTGGAATCCAAGCAACTGAAGACTCATTTTAACGTGGGCCGTATCAACTTAGAAGTGATATTTGCTGCCAGCATAGGTGCCAGGAACCTTTCCACATTTGTGTTCTTACATCCTTTTCACTGCACCCTAGAAGTGGTTGCTCTTACTCTTATTTTACATGGATAGGGCCAGAGAAGGTAAGCAACATGTCCAAGGTCACATAAGAGCAGAGGTGGGACTGGAACAGTTCCCACTGGCTTCCAATCTTGTGCTTTCCACCTTACCCCACAAACTGTCCATTTATCTGCCCGAGTCAAATGACGAACGAAACCTGTCCTCCCCATATTATCCATGTCCCTGCATGGATACTTGGCATGCTGACTGTCCAGTGCAGCAATTCTGCTTGAGTCCTGACAGGGCTGATGTAATGCCCCAACCACCATGTCAAGCTTTGCTAATGAGAGATTTTGATAATTCACCTACCCTCCTATACTTTTAACTTTTCTGTCCCCTTCTGGGCTCCAGCTGTGACAATGATGGAGACCATTTATTTTGCTGAAGCTGAGAGCAGAGGTAAATGGGAATTCCTGGGGTCTAAGAGATGAGGGACAGTGTAGGGAACAGGGAGCAGTCTGTATAGGGAGGAAACAGTAGAAGTAAGTACAGAGAAACTGACAGCTTAATTCTGCCCCTGGGGCTCATTTTATGGTTAATTAGGACATACAAATGAACTGGAAGCTCATTTAATACCTTCCCTGGTACGCAGCTCCACCTCAAACCTGGCCCACTTCCCTGGCAGGTACAGGGGGCCCCTGATTAGGCCAGGCCTCTGCTCAGGGCTCTACCTGCTTTGTGGCTCCATGGCCAGAGTCTGTAGATGTTCCCCAGCCTCAGCAGGAAATGGGAGGAGTCCCTGCTGGGCACGGTTTGCCTGTCTGGCCTCCCATCTTCCTTTTTCCAACCTTTCATACCTGAAACAACCTTCCCCTCCTCAGATACTTCCCCTGCATCCTATCCCTCAGGGTGATCTCTGAAAGCAAACCTGCCCTGAGGAATAGAAGCCTGGTTAAGCTCTGCCCCATTGAATCCCTGCCTGCTCCCCAGGCTCTTGGTCTTTCCCACAGCACACCATTTCCTCCGTGCCTAGAGAAAAGCAAGAGCCCCAGCCTGTCTGGGAAGCAGGGGCTGTCTTGAGCTTCTCCAGGGCAGATCTCCTTACCCACAGCAGTTAAGGAACTTCTGCCCTCCTATCAGTATGAGCACCGGATGTGGAGTCAGGATTTGAGACCCATTTCTGTCACTGTGAACTTGAGCTTGTTGTTTGACCTTTCTGAACTTCATTTTTCTCATCTGTGAAACAGGGCTGCTGTGAGGTTTAGAGGACACAGTGAACCCAGCAGGCAGGCAGGCACACTGGCTGGGATAGGAAAGCTCCACAGACTGCACTTCCCATCCCAGCACTAACCATGAGATCCAAGGCACACTACTAAAAATAAAGAAAAGTACTTTCTCTGAATCTTGGTCTCTTTTCTGTTAAGAAATGTATACTGACTCTCATTACCTCATAGGATTGTGGCAAGGATCAGAAAAAAATCACAGCTATGAATATGCTTTGGCACAGTGTAGATACAGTGGGCCATTATGTGCCAAATATGCTCATACTCTGGAAGGAAGATACATAGGGGTGGGGATGGAGAAGGGCAGCAGCCTTGGTGGAGCTGGGGGTAGGTGCTTGAGGACCCCACCACCTATGGATCTGCTCTAGGGAAACTCCCTTCCACCCTGCACCCCAGCTCTCCAGCTGTCCTCCGTGTCACCTTCACCTCAGGGCCTCAATCTGGTCTCCCATCTGTTCCCTCGGCCATAGGTGCTGGAGTCTCTGCCAAGCCACAGCTCTCTCTTCACCTTCCTCCTAGCCACTGGAGGCCAGCGGCCTAGGGCTGCCCTGGCTATCCTCAAATCCATTCCCTCCTCTGCAAGGGGTCCTGGGGCTCAGGCTGGTATTACCTGGTGAGGGGTGATGGGCGATGGGCTAGAAAGGCCTCAGGACAAGACCACACAGCACAGTCACCCAAAGGACTACTGAGAGGATGGCTCTTGCCTTCTCCTCTGTCAAAGTCCTAAAACAGGACCTCCAGGTGGAAGATCCCCTTGCTAGAGGACTTACTTCCTGCCTCTACCTGTCACTCTCCCCTTCAGTCAGTCTCAACACATTCTTCCATCTACCACCTCCAGTCCCTGCCTGATACACACACACACACACACACACACACACACACACACACACACACACACTACAATGTCAGCCTCACCAATGTTCCTGCAAGTTGACACTCTTATATTCTTGTCCCCCACTGAAGTCCTCTTTCTCCTCAGCTTTCCCAGTGCTCCCTTGAAAGCGTCTCTGGGCTCCTGGCTAGAGGCCAGTGAGGACCAGTGTGACCCTGAACAGTTTGGGAAAATGGTAACCTGATGTAGGGACGATACCACTTTCTACTTCCTTTTCCCAGTATGAGGGAAAAGGTGGTGAGGCTTGGGTTGAGGGAGCAAGCTGACTGGCTGGACTTTGCCCAGTTCTAGGCTGCAGCACTCCTCCACTCCACACAACCCATTCACCCTTGCTGTGCCACTCTAGGGACACCTTCAACACAGCCCATCTGCCCATGTGTAGGAATTAATGACAAATACCTCCTCCCATGTGCTTTGCATCTCGCTCTCTCTGGTTCCCAACTTAGGCTCTTCCTGCCACTACCCAGCTCTGAGTGGTATTCCCTCCTAGAGCCCTCTCCCTCTGACAGCGATGGCCACAAGTTGCCTGCTGGGTGCTGGTTTGCAGGGGAAGCGCGCATCCCAAGAATCAGGTTTTTCTTGTCCTCTATCGCCCCCACTGGCCGCTGGAATTCCCTTTCCTGCCTTCCTCTCCTTAGCCCCTTTGTCATGGAGGCTGTGGCAGTATCGTCCAGGTTTATAAGGATACAAGAGGGGTGCAGGATGTCTGTGAGCGCCTATGACTTCCTTCTCACCTGTTTTCTGTCTTCTCCAGGTGTCAGAGGCCCAGCCCTGCCCAATTAGACCCCAACTGACTAACTTGGCCTATTCTGGACACTTCTTGTTAGCTTTATCTCAGAGAGGTTATTCTGAATGCTCCAAGCTTGAGTTTCTCATGTCTGCCTGTGCTGTTTCCTGAGGAATCAATTCTGCACCTCACATTGGCTTTTACTTAGCCTGCGCTGTGCAGTCTGAAGGCTAGCTATCTTCAAAGCCTTTCCAGAGACCTTATCTGTAGCTCTGCCACAACCATTCTTTGTAAGTCACTTCTGTGCAACTGTCCTTCCTTTCTAGACTGAGTACCTCCAGGGTTGTAACTGCTCATTCCTCATTTGTGTATCCCTAGCACTGAACACGGGGGTCCCAATGTGACCTCCACTCTGCAGAATAAGCCCTGGCCGAGTCCTCTATTGATGCTCCTGCTTTAGGGAAGGCCAAGAGTCAAGGCTTTTTCAGTTGCCTTGATTCCCCAGGAGACAGGGAAGCTGCAGTCAAAGTCAGAGAGCAGGAAACTTCTCCAACACAGCCCCCCTCTCTCCAAGATACTGTGCCCTCTGTTCTGCTCCTTAGGTGAATTCTATTTTAATGCAGGTTGTATGGGGAGCCTTCGCCTTCACCCTCGCTCTTGCCGCAGTCCCTGTTGTCCTGCTGTCCATGGGTTGCCCAGGGCTCAGGCCCTACCTTCAGATGATCACAGCCACTTCTCTCGAATACTTGCTCAATCCCCAGCAGGTCTTATTTGTCATTCTAAAGGTTATCACCTTTACCCCAGCCTGCAAGTTTTCTCCCTTTTTTTCTCGATCTTTTTCTACCAGCCTTCTACACCTGGTTCAATTCTTTATTCTCTTCGGTAACATCTAGTCCCAGACTTACCTACCCTGGAATTCCTTCGAACTTGCTTTCTGGGGGCCCTCCACCCCTCCGGGGGACACTGAGTCTGCTAGGTTCTCCTCCCTGCATTGTGACTGTTGAAGGAGGACAGGACAGGGCAGGGCAATGGGGAAGGAAGTGGAGAGTTGGGTGTCGCACGCCTTCCCTACCTCCAGCGCCACTGCTGGCCATGCTCCAGGCATTGTCCCCTTACTGGGATTGAACTGCCAGCAAGGCAGCATGTGTAGAGCCATTTGTGTACACGTGGTGGGAAAGAAGAGGGCATCAGACATTTTTTTTCTTTAAATGCAAGAAGTTCTTTCAAATGGGCTAAGTGCAGCAACTGAAGCCCTTGCATAGACACAGCTCCCTGATCAGAGGTGCCAAAGCTGGTACCAGCCCAAAGCCTCCACACACAACCCCACACCCACATCTGGCCCAGGCACCATACAGTACTAGACCAGACTGACTGAAGCAGCTGCTGTAGTCCCTGGGCTGAGGTTCCAAGCATCTGTTCAGATAGTCAATTCATATTCCAGAAAATAAGGGATTAGCTTTCTATCAGTGATTCCCAGGGTCCAAAAAATTCCAAAGCTTCTGATGTGGGCTACCCTGCTAGGAGTACAGGGATCCAAAACGTCTTAACTTCTCCATTAAATGTATCATTCCCTATAGGCTAAGGGTGTGGCTCAATGGTAGAGTGCTTGTCTAATGTGCAAAAGGACTTGGGTTTAGTCCCCAGCACTGCCTAAAACATTAAAAAAAAAAAAAAATCCAGAGGTGATGGCATTTCCCAGCTACTCAAGAAGCTGAGGTAGAACTGCAAGTCTGAGCCCAGACCGAGAAAGTTAGAAAGACTTTGTCACAAAAATAAGAAGGGCTGGAGATGCAGGTCAGTGTGAGCCTTGGGTTCAATACTCAACATTGCAAAATAATAAGTACATAAATAAATAAAATACATTCCTTCTCCAGGGAACACAGGCAGGGAGGGACTATCTCTGGTCCCACTACTCCAAGTCCTATTTTTCCAAACTGGGGGGCTGGGGATTTAGCTCAGTGGTTCTGCTGCCTGCCTCAAAAACACAAGGACCCGAGTTTGATCCCCGGTACCAAAAAAAAAAAAAAACAAGAACAGAAAAACAAACTGGGAAGACTGCATGGTTGTGCATTAATCACATTAATCATTGTGACTCCTTCAAAATACTAACCCACAGCAATGCTTAGGGCAGACTTAATGGGCTGCTTAACTACATATGGCTTATGCCCTTCCTCCAGCCCACAAGGGATGGCTTGATGATCCAATCCTGGTGGGTGAGTAGATTAAAAAAGAATCCTCTCAGGGGCCAGGGACTTAGCTCAGTGATTCCACCACCTGCCTCACATGCACAAGATCCTGAGTTCAATCCCTGGTACCAAAAAAAAAAAAAAAGAATCCTCTCAGAAAGCATTCATAATATAGAACAGCTAGAGGGGCTGTGAAGAACTGAACCTAGAAAGTGGGGGTGTGAACTAATATTTATTGTGTGCACACTAGATGGTGGGTACTATGCTAAAAAGTGCAAGGGAGCAGAACTATGACTGGTAAAGCAGGAAAAAGAGAAAGGAAAGGTGTTTTCTCTCTTCATTGTTACCATCTTTGAGTGCCAAAGTATTAATGTTGATTCCCTTCTAAATTGAACACTAGTCTAACTGATCTCAAAGATCATCTTTATTAGAGAAAGAGGGGAATTGAAATGAAAAACTAAGAGTAGGATAAATGTGCGAGTTCATGGGAGTAACCACTTCATCCTGAGTTCTGAAATTTCTCCATGCCTGTCCTCACCTAGTCTATGACCTAGTTATTTACCTAATTCTCCCTCCTACATTACCAACTTCTTGTTTCAAGGCTTGCCATGCTATGGCCCTAATTTACTCCAGGGTATTTTGTCCATATATCCAACACCCGTCAAAACTAGCTAATTTCTTGTTCATGTTGGTCTTCTATACCTTGCTTTTCCCTGAAATTTGCCTGTAATATTCTTTTCTACTCTAACCTGTAGAAAATTCCATCCTCCCTTAAAGGCCTAGATCAATCTATTCCCTCTGGAGTATTTAAAATTTGAGAAATCATTTTTTCCTCTGTCTTACAATTTTTTGTGCTTAAAACTTCTGCTCCTCCTTCCTCCCTGAAGCAGCAGTCTTCTTGCTTTGTTGTCCAGGTGATCCAAGTGATCCTCCTGCCTCAGCATCTCAAGTAGCTGGGACTACAGGCTTAAATTTTCTTTGTACTTCATTATAGTTTTTTGTGAAATACAAGTTCCTATATCTACAGACTGTCTTCCACCCCCATATCTGGGTCAGCTTACTTTCACGGTACATTATGCTTAGTTTACTCAGTTTACCTTCTTAGTGGATCATTCCTATTAACACACATGTTGTTTCGTGTATCTTACTATGTAGTCAGTGATGTCTGAGGTCCACAACTTTTTTTCCCATACTTCCCCGACATGGTCTCCACCAAACCACTGATAGTCCACCAAGGTCACCGGTGACCTCTACTACTTCCCCTTTTTTTGATGGTATGGTACAGGGGATTAAACCCAGGGCCTTTGCACAGAGTTACATCTCCAACCGTTTTCTGAGACAGGGTCTCAACAAGCTTCCCAGGCTGGGCTCAAATTACCAATCCTCCTGTCTCCACCTCCCAAGTAGCTGGGATTACAGATGTGCACCAACACATGAGGTGCTTTTCTAACTCCTCATCTCCCAACCTCTGTAGAGTATCTCAGGGATCTCTTTATTTACACTTAACTGTAGCCATCCTACCTAGTCTCGTCTCACATTTTAAAATATTACCTTTAAATCTCCTGTTTCCTCTTTCCCTGAATTTGACTCAATTCAACTACCTATTGTAAATCTCTAGAATGTGACATACTTTCCACAATCAGCATGTTGAAAATTGAATTCCCTGGTCCCCTCCCATTTGCTCCTATCATAATCTTCCCTGTCTTGACTATCGGTCCCCAAATCTTGGCATCAACTCTTACCAATCTCTATCATACATATATGTGTCACTAAATCCTGCTGGCTCCACGTTCAAAACATATCTGAATACAAACTTTTCCCTGCTACCACCATTTATCACATTATTCAGTTTTCTAACTGGTCTCTGCTTCCATGTTTGCCCCTATCTAGGCTATCCTCAACCTATTAGAAGATTCCTGATGATGCAGTATGGCTGAGTCAGGTCATGTCATATCTTTTGCTAAGTCCTTCCCATGGACCCCACTCAGAGTAAACACTGAAGTAAATTTCCGTATATTCAATCCCATTGCTTCTCAATTATCTACTTCTATTCTCCTCCTTGGTCCCCCAGCTCCAGATATATTGATCTCTTTGCTAGTCCTTCAACATGCCAGGCACATGTCTACATATGGCACATGCAAAGACTTTCCAGTGCATGGAAGGTTCTTCTTCCTATATAGGCTACAGTTACATAGGCTGTACCCTTCAAATGCTTACTCAAATAACCAGCTTGCTCCCTTTCACCCACTACTACCTCATCCCTTTGCCAAGCACTCTGACCCTTTGCACTAAGTAATGCTTTCATAGCACTCATTCATCACTGAACACACACACACACACACACACACACACATACACACACACACCCCACATGGGTCTTTTACCATTTTCTAAAGATTAAAACTCCACAAAGGAAAAGATTTGGTCTATAGCCACTGTATTCCCAGTATGGTGTGTGGGTATACAACAGAAGCACAAGATGTACTTCCTGATAGGCCCATAAGGACGTTGCATAGGCCCTACAACATTCGTGTAAGAACCTGGATATGGTTAAGCTTTAAAAAAAAAAATCATTGGAAACAACATCCAAAATAAGAGTCACACTACTGTTTAAAATAGAAAGGTTTATTAAGGCTTTTCCTCAAGAGGAACAACTATCCTCTTGCTTCTTAAGAGAAGCAATTAGTGGGAAATGTATATCACACCTTGGGCCCAGAATCACAGGAGGACACTTCTTAACAAGCCCAAAGAACCTGCACTTCCAATACCCCAAAACAATCCATATTGCTTTCTAAGAAAACAGAATTAGGCATCCAGTTAAAGCCTCCAGCTTTTCTCAACAAAAATACTTAAGCAAGACAGTGCAGTAAGTAGACTCCACACTGAACGAACCCGAGATGAAACTGCAGTAAGAAAAATCTGTACCAGTGGAATATCTGTACTGCATTAAGACTGACTTAATTTTTATGTTTTTGGAGAATATGAATGCCAACAGCTGGGTGGTTAGACTACTCAAAGCTCACATTCACTTTCCTCTCTGAAAGATGTGCTCTTTCCAGTTCCTGGACAAGCACCCAAACCACTCTGGCTCTTTTAAGTTTGGAGCTGATTCAAGTTGGGTTATATTTTTGGTACCAGGGTTCAAACTTGGGACCTTGCACTTGCAATGCAAGCAGTGGAACCACTGAGCCAAATCTCTGGCCAAGCTGGGTTATTTTAATATGTATTTAGCACCTTCAAAAAATATAAGACCAAAATAAACTAAAAGGCTATTTTACAAATTATTTTTTCTTCCAAATTACCTGGTAATTTCTTCACATTCTGGTTCCAAGAGACATAATTTATCAGAGCATATTCTATGTTTTCTAACATCCTACCAGGATTGTGTACAAAGGAAAATACCAAATTCTTAATTCTTTTTTTGCTCTTTAGTTCCTAAAACAAAACTCAGGCATATGAAATGACAAGTACGCATGTACCTACAAGGATAAGGAGTTATATTAAACTGTCTAGGTACAAAAAAATGCACTGTTCTATTACTATTTATGTGCAGAGAAAAATAATTCCAAATCATCTGCTTTAATAAAGTTGGTAACAAAAATAAAGGCCAGTATTTCCCCTAAATATTAACTTTTCCAAGTACATAACTTAAAGGAAGAGGAGTGTTTCACTGAAGTAAGAAGTGGCCACTGATGATGGTGGATCAAGGTGCCAAAGAGTTGAGTTCAGAGTTATGAAAAGAAGGGACTAACACCCCAACCAGCATATTTCTCCACACATTCTTAAGAGAACTATGTAAGTGGGCACAGTTTAGTTAGTATTATCTATATCCTTGATGAATTTCGTTTGTATATCTTCTCTGTCCAGTTAGATTGTAAACTTTTGAGGAAGAGCCTCTTTGTGGAGAATGTAGTGTGCATTGAAGAGACTGGCTTGAATATTTTTGATTTTTTTTTTTTTTCCTGCTACCAGGGATCGAACTCAAGGCCTTGCGCTTGTGAGGCAGACACAGCACCACTGAGCTAAATCCCCAGCCCTGGCTTTAATATTTTTAATGCAATGTCCGTAGAAGTGTTAATGGCGCTGAAGCTCCCCCTGGTGGAGATTATGGTTATATTATGCATTTACTTTTACAATTTCTAAAACTGGATTGGGGAGCACTAACAAGCCATTATAGTAGTTTGTGTTTTAGTTGGAAAAAAAACAAACTATCAATTGTAGCATCAAGCCTCCTTTAAGTTATATGTTGTTCATATAGCCAAAGCTATTATGCCTTAAACAGCCAGAGACTACTATGGCATCAGTTCCTAGATATTTATCATACGAGATTCAAATAATATCCTAGAGACTTGATTTTTCAGTTACAAAAATACATCTTGTTTCAGGTACCCTTTCCACTGGAAACAAGACTAAGGAGGAGCTCATGTGGGACAATATGAAAATCTGCCTGTCTCATTTTCTAACAGGATACATTTTTCCTTGAGGTACCCATGCACATCGGTGATCAGCTGGTCCTGCTCTGCATACCACTCACTGTGCACCAAAAGACACTTTATAGTTTCTCCCTCAACCCAAGTGGGCTGTATAAGATATGACAAAGGAATCCGATGACAATTATCTTTCTCCTCTACATTCTAAAATAGAAAACACTGAATTTTTAATGCTACTAGTTGAGACTGAAACTTAGTTGTAATGATCTCTATTTAATGTAGCAAATAACTAATAACCTATTGTAAAAAGATAGTATTTAGCAACCTCTACTGGTTTGTGAGATGTTTGTCCAAAGAATGTCTGAGAGGTATTTCAAACAGAATGACATTAGAGGACTTCAAAATACAGTACAGCATGCCTCTAAGCCAGGCACAGTGGCATGTCCCAGCTACTTGTGAGGCTGAGGCAAGAGTACTGCTTCAGCCCAGGAATTTGAAATCAGCCTGGGCAACACAGCAAGACCTCACCTAAAAAAAGGAAAAGGCTTCTCTAACCCCGACAAACTGGATGTAAGGTTTCACTTATTTTTCAAATTTATTCTATTCTTCTGTCCCTTAATCACAGGTATATACTAACTTGATCAGATGAAGGGATGTGTTAGGTAACTAAGTTTATTAGAAACTCAAAATAATACAATTTCCAATTTTTAAAACAATATTTTATTTTTTATTTTTTTTGTACCGGGGATTGAACTCAGGTCCTTGTGCTTGCGAGGCAGGTGGCAGAACCACTGAGCTAAATTCCTGGCCCTAAAACAATATTTTAAACATTTTCTCAGTCGATCAGAGTTTATATTTGAAAGCTGACTTTTAAATTTCAATTTAGTAACTGATGGGCTGACCACTTGAATACTTCTTCACATCTAGTCGCAACAAGACAGTATCTAGATCCCTGAGCACTGATTTAGACTTCCTAGGACTGGTCTCCTCCTTGATATTTGGGGACAAGGCACAGGGTTTCCTAAGCTTGTTTCTTTTCTTCTGTAGCATTTAATCGGCTAACAAGCTGTTTGCTCTACCTCGCTTTATGGAGAACACATAAATAATATCACCCCATGTCCATGTCCTTCTTAAGCCCTATCTTTTGTTAAAATGGAAGGAAAAGCAAAGCACCACTAGACAGCCAGCTAAAAATTTAACTCTTGCATATTACTAGTACTATACTACTTCATATGTAGTTCTTAGAGCATTTACTAACATCGCTTTTATGTGTTTTAACTTTCACTCACTTCTCTCAAATTCTTCAAACTATTATAAAGCAAGTTTGAAAATTTCCACATAACACTTCACTGGTGGACCTACACCTAGCAAATTAACAATGGCAAAATGATTCCCTTACTGAAATTACAAGCTGTGGAAGACTGAAATAGTAAAAGTTAAACCCTGATACAGTATTAAACTTATCTTTTTACATATAAAAATAATACACAGTAGGATATTTTATTCAATAAGATACAATCTTTAAGATTCAGAGAGAATATACAAAATTATTCTATGTAGTCTGATGGATTTTACTGTATAGTAGGAATAAATATATCTAGAACAGAAAGAAAGTCTGTTCTTAAATCAGTTAGTATCATTTAAAGCCAACTGTTCTGCAGATATCAGGTAGAAAGGAGCTACTGTTGCACTTAAAACAATGTGGTCATTATAAAATAAAGGCTTTAGACCTATAAACAATAACAAAAACACACAAACCAAATGAAAATGTACTAAAATTTAATCATCCATAAAAGCTGTAATTTAATCTGACAGTAAAACACAAGAAGCAATATTAGAGTTGGTTTAGTATATTATATATTTTAGCTTTGAAAGCTGTAGAAATCAGTTATATCAGTTTTTTTCCTATAAAAGACCCATTTTTCCAAAGCATTATGCACAATTTTAACTAGAATATGACAGATGATATTTCATAATTTTTAAAATATAAAATGAAGTCAATTACTCAAAAAAGTTATCTGCTGCAATGAGTTGAGAAATTTCATAATTGATATCATTACAGATATAAAGTATAATGGTTCAACTTTTTAGTGCTTGACAGGGAGGAATCATGATAAAAAGGTCAATATGAAATTATTTAATTATAGTAGCAGTATCTAACACTTGAAATGCATCCATGCTCTTTAGTATAATTGTATCAGAGTCAAGTATATTTATTTTCACATCTGTTATAACTGCTATTGCAAAGGAGAATGCTATTGTCTTACTTTCCAAGAGATATACACAGAGCAATTTTTTTCTCCAGGGAACTTGTGCAAACCAATATAATATCTAAATTCTTCACATAATATATAAAACAGGAGAAGCCTCTTCGGATTTGTTTTTTGAAGTCTGGAATGCTGGCACTTTCCAATTAGGCAACAGTTCTTCATTCCTATAATCTGGAATATTGAATAGATACAGATATACATACATATATATTTGGTTTTCTTTTGATATCAGAAGATGGTAGTAAGCAAGCAGATATCCAATAACATAGAAACAATGGTCTTAGGCTACATGTGTAGCTCAGTGGTAGAACTCATAGTTATGCCTAAGACCCTAAGCAAAAGTGATCTTGGCTAATCAATATACTAAACAGCTACAGTAACAGGGCAATTGGAAAATGTTTTTAAAAATATAGAAGACTGATTTTATAGAAAGTCTATAATTGATCAACTTTAGTTCATCCTCAGTTTTATTACACTTAGTGTTTCACATTATATCCAGCAGTCCTATCTGTGAAAACAGTAATATTTTGTTTCTAACCTATCAGCACCTTATTTATAAAAGTTCCTTCTCGGCAGGGGATTTAGCTCAGTGGTTTTGCCGCCTGCTGCGCAAGCACAAGGACCCGAGTTCGATCCCCCATACCAAAAAAAAAAAAAGTTCCTTCTCCACTGAAGAATGACAATTGGTTGAATAAATTTTCTGTGGGAAATTCTGCATTCAACCATTTCATGATTGTATATATTAAAGATTACCACTTCTAATATAGGCTAAGGCAAGAAGAGATGACATATAGACAAACTCAAGGGCAGAAAAATCAGCAAGTCTATCGCTCAGTGAAAGAATGAGCACCCTCTCCAGGTGGTACTGGTAATTGAACCCAGGAGCACTGAGCTATATCATCAGTCCTTTTTATTGTTTTAAATTTTGATACAGAGTCCCAATAAGTTGCCCAGGTAGGTCTTGAACTTGTGATCCTTCTGCCTCAGCCTCTTGAATAGGAGACACTACAGGCATGTGCCACTATGTGTAGCTAAGCCCTATTCTGTTTTTGAAGCACTGGGGATCCAATCTAGGGCCTCTTACATGCTAGGCAAATACTCTACCACTGAGCTACTCACCCAGCCTCAAACCATGTATTTTGAATACTCATTCTGCAGCAAGCACCAGGGATGTGGTGAGCAAATCAGGCAGGATTCTCACCCTCAAGCCTTAAAATTCTCATGGGGAGGAAACAATATTTACAAGGTATGTCACACGTGCAAGGTACAGAAACTGAGAAATTCCCAGAGTAAGTAAAATGGGATTAAAGTTGGAAAAAACCCAAAAGGAGGTGGCGATGAGAAAGGCATCTTACCTGGCTCAGAGCTGCTGCTGACTTCAGGTCTAGAGCAGCAGACATGATTTCTTTTTAGGCTTCTTCTTTTCCACTGGTGTTTTTCTATTTATTTGTCTGACCAGGTCATAAAATATCTAAATAAAAACAAAGGAAAAGTACTTATTCAACCAATATTTGAGACTTTGTTCCAAAAAAAAATTCTGGTTCTGTTAAATATTTTTCTACTCTAAGGTCTATTATTTTGTTGCTTTGTTTTGTTTGAAGTCAGGTTTCTTAGAAGTCTCAGCTGACTTTCAGGCAGGGTAAAGCAGGACTTACCTATTTAGGAAGTACACTTGCTGCTAGACTAAGAAAAATAACTGGCATCTTAAAAACAAAAAAACAAACCAAAAACCCAAACCAAAAAACAACAAACCTGGCAGTAAAAAGGTAGTGAAAACTTTAACTTACAGAAAAGTTGTAAGAACAGTACCAAAGAACTTCTGTATATTCTTCCTAGATCCACCACTCAGTAACATTTTGCCACTTTTACTTTACTATTTTTTTCTCTCTCCATACATATATTTATTTCTGAACCATTTGCGAGTAGTTTGCATACCACACATCTCTTAAAGGTTGAATGTGTATTTCCTAAGAACAAGGATATTTTCTTATATAACCATTATTACAGTTAACACATTCAAAACATGTAAGCACTGATACATTACTTTGTATTATCTACAGTGCAAATTCCAAATTCCAATTTTATCAGTTACCCCAATGATGCCCTAAAAAGTAACTTTCCCCTCCAGAGACAGAATCCATCCAGGCCCCCACACACTGCACTTTGTTTCTTGACACTAGTTTTTTTTAAATGCAGAACAGCTCCCTGGACTTTGACTTGAGGGTAGTAAAGTTATAGAATTTCCAATATGAGGTTGCTGTTTCCTCATGATTAGATTCATGTTATGCATTTTTGGCTAAAATAAGATAAAATGTTTTATGTCCCTCTTCAGGTATCATATGCAGAGGCACATAATTGTTATCTGGCCCCTTTTGATGAGGTTAATTTTAATTGAAGCACTAAACAGATACCACACTTGATCTTAGTCAAAAGGCAGAGAAGCGACTGAAGTACTGAACAGGAAAGGTTTACTGATCCTTGAATTGAAGTGACAAATTCTACGTCAATGAATCTTGTGGATTCACTGCTGGATGCAAATACTGTTCATAGTATCAAAGACAAAAATACAAAGCTATTTATTTCACAAAGCAGATTATTTTAATTCTGATGCTTATATATAGTTTCATAGTTCTAAGTATGTCAAAGTGTTGAATTATGAAACAGACCAGCTGAATCTGATTCTCTGCCATGAAATGGAAACACTAATTTTTTTAATGACCTGGAATACAAACAAATATTATAAAAGCTCCTTACTAATACTTATCTGGCATAAACGCTGCTTTGTAGAGATGAACTTTTTAAAATGTACTGTTTTTAAGGAACACTACAGGGACCAACTGGAAAAGTCTGAATATGAATTATGTTGATGTCAATTTTCCTGATTTTATTTTTTATTTATTTTGGGGTGCTAGGAATTAAACCCAGGAATTTGTCCATGGTAGGAAAGTGCTCTACCACTGAGCCACATTCCCACTCCAATTTTCCCGATTTTAATTGTTGTGTTGTGTTTGTGTAAGAGAATGTCTTTGATCCAAGGATACATATATTAAAATATTTAGTAATAAAGGGGTGTGATTTCTGCAAATAACTGGCAAAAATGTTAATAAATGGTAATTTATATGAAAAGTAATTTTTATTGTTCTTAGCTCTTGAGTAAATTTTAGATGTAAAGTATTTTATAGTAAACTATTATATTTTTTAAAGATGATAAAGAATTATCTATTTATTTTAAAAAGATAGTGATTTATCGCAAAGCTATAACTCATTTCTATTCTTTTCTTTTTGGCTCATCCTTCCCACTCCCATCTTGAAACGACTTAACTATTACCTTATTTCTAAGAAAAGCTTGAAAACAATTTATAAACAAAATGGTAAATGGTAACTTGTTTTACCAAAGTCCAAGCTGTTTCATAACTTTAAAGACTTCAAGAACTTAATGTGCATAAGCCACAAATGAGCTCTTATTCATTCCTGAAGCTTAATGTACAAGCTATAATATAAAAAGTAATAAAAAGGTAAACCAGATAGCAAATTAATCACACACATAGGTAGTTTCAATTTTAGTTTCTTTATGATAGTTTCCAGTATGTATCATACAGAAAGGTAACTGATTTTGTATTAATATTCTAAATTATTTCTTTGGAAAGGATTGCCTACCTCACAGCAGCAGATGGTTCAGTGATGAGGGCAAGTTCGAACTATAATATTGGGTTAGAAATGCTGAAAGTCCCCAGCCTAGGTTCTTCCTCATCTCTCTGAACTATAGAAAAATCTAAAGGGAACACAGAATAGAGTTTCTCAATCCCTCTCCCATTCCTAAATTGGGATGTCTTGATTCCAATTATTATTCCGGCCTTAATTAATTCTTGATTAAGACTGATGTGATTCTGGCATAGCTATACACTACTTTCATAACATAACAAAAATGGCGTGGATAAAAGTTGAAGAAAAGAAAATCAGAGAATTAGAGGGCTCTGGCCAAGTAGTAGTCCTTATCTGTTTTCAAATTTGAGAGCAAGAGTTGAATCTTGTAAAAGCATTATCCTCCTATCTTCAGGCATTCAGAAATTACACAAACATTTACCAGGCAGCTAAAGGTGTCTGAAGAACTATTAACTATCAAAGGATTATCAGGCTATAAAGAGAAAAATCTCAAAACAAAAAGCAAAAACAACAAATCCCCTCAAATTATATTCTCAAGAATTTCTAGTATGAAGTTTGTATATTTTCCAAAAATCAAAGGTTCTTAACATGGCTAACGCATTTTACTTTATTGTTTTTCTCTATTTGTTTTATAAACTCTTCTGTGAAGGGTTGACTTTGAAACGACTGTTGTGAAAAGGTTCTGTTACACAGACTACAACCCAGAAGAGATTTAGTTGAATGTAGGTTCCCACAAACATGTAAAACTAAAAGATGCTAAAATGGAGAGGTCCTGCCTGCTGGACCCTGGCCAACTCAGCCCCAAGGGACTCAGTGAACTTAGTGAGTGGGCACCAGTAAGGGTAAGGACAGGGACAGTAAGGAATGAGACCCTACAGAGGGCCCACGGAAGGTGATCTTGCATCACCGTTCCATCAGCCAAAGGGCATTTAACAATCCTAATGTCTTCTTAATCAAAATTACTTTTTTAAAATAAAGGATTGTACTAAAATTAATTTTATCATAGACACATTTTTCAAAACAACCTCTAGGAATCTATAATTCTACATGAGAGAAACTTGAAGCTGGATGAATATTAAATTTCCTTTCATTTACTTGGAAGTGAGTAAGAAATAACTGTCAACAATCTCAGCAGAACTTGTTCCCCACTAGGATATAAACAAATGCTTTTTTAAAAAAATTTTGAGACAAGGTTTCATTAGGTCACTAAGTTCCCAAGCTGGGCTTGAACTTGCAATTCTGTCTCATTCTCCCAGAGTGCTGGCATTTTAGCTGTGTGCTGCATACCTAGGTGGATGTAAACCTTTTAAGGGTGGGAACAGATGACTGATACCTGAATGCCTAACAGTGCCAGGTAAACAGCAAGCACTCAATATATATTTGGTAAATAAGTGAGTTTATTAATTTCTTGTTTTTATGTACTTGTTAAGAATGGTTTCATCAAAAAAGCAAGTTCTGGCATTCTTGATTATTTGTAAGAAACAGGATTTGTAGTAAGCTGAAATATTTTTCTGCCAGGTATTTAAAATAATTTGGCCATTTTAAAAGTCAGATAACAGTCCATAAGTGTAATAGTAGTTAAGGAGAAGGGGCCCATGGAAGAACCAGCAAGAACCAGAAGAACAAGACCAGAGAAGAACAGCAAGGAAAAACACAGATTCTGTTCATCTAACCTACTCTTATCTGTTCTTTAAATTATCTGAGTTCTGACTGATGACTTGTGATGTTACAAATGGCAAGCACATAGGCATAAGAAAGGAAAGAAACCCATTCTGTTTAGTTTTTAAAGAAAGGTGTATAGTAAAGTTAACAAAAATAAAGAGAATCTTAAATTTTTGCTTGATTGGTAGAGGAAGCTAGAACTGCACTTGGTAGGGGAAGCTAGAACTGCACTAAGTTTTTAGGGGTGCAGTAAACTACTGGCCCTTTGAACTCTGGTACACCGCTTGCTTCCAGGTCACACTTTATGTTCATAAGAAAGTGTAGTGCAAAATTCAGAGACAAAAAAGGGCCCTCTGCACCAAATTAGAACTAAGGACTGAGTGAGTTCCAGTTACATGTCTAATCTCACAGATCCCTCACTTTCAGGCATGCACCAAAGGTGAGGCAACTCAGAAACAACATTCTCTGATATCCATGAAGGTTCATGAACATCTTTCTGTGTAACAACTGTTTATTATAATAACTACTTTAAGTTTTGCATTTTCCTACTTGACTTTATGTATTTATGCATCTAGATAGATAATTATTATGACATTAAGGTGCTGTGATATTTTTCACACACCACTTTCTGGTATATCTGTTAAGGGTTTAGCAGGGCTTTATAGTCTTTAACTTCCTCTTTGACAATAAGGTAAATTTCAGTGTCCTCATAAGAACTATCAAAGTGATCTTATACAGAATACAGAACTACTTAGTGTTTTCTATAAAGTGACAGAATGAAGAGTGCTTTGACATTTCTTTGTTTAAAAATTTTGGTTATTAATTTACAGCAAAGGAAACCAAAATCCACTTGTTTGTGCTACTCAGCAGTTGTAAGTTACCTCATTAACGTTGATCTTTGACTTTGCAGAAGATTCTAAAAAGGCACAGTTACACCACTGTCTTGCTAAATTCTGGCCCTGTTCTTTGCCAGCTACTCGCTCATCTTCCAGGTCACATTTATTGCCAACCAAAATCATTGGAACCTGCAAGAAGGAAAAATATAAAATAAGCAATAATATACTAATTACTTAGTCTATTGTTATAAATAAGCAATTAACTGCCATCAACTAAAATATATTAAAACTATAAGCTTCACCAAATGGTTAAAAAAAGGGGGGGGGATTGTATATCATCTTCATATACTAGGGGGGAGTACAAAGAATGGAGAGGGAAGAGACCAGAAATTGTGGAAAAGATTCTACCAGATTATATGTCAAATTATTTTAAGACTATAATCCAAAACTTCTCTTGTGAACTACTGCAAATAGTTGAATTCCAAGTAGAAAAAACTCTGAAGGAAAAGGAAGCTCCTGCAACACACTGGTACTCACTGGGCCTATATGGTGTAAGTGCTTCATCTCACAGGTGTAATAAATGCTAAAACAGCAATAAGCTCAGCACAGTAAAAGCTTTGACTTCTACATTTCATATCTAGATTCCAAGACTATTTAGGTGAAATATTAATTAAGGATTAGCATAAACATATCCTTTTTCCTCCATACCACAGATGCTTCGTTATATCCATCTATAACACTCTATTTCCGGTAAAACAGTTAGCTAATAAACTGTATTAACTTCCTCAGTTAAAAGGTGTTCAGGGGGAAGGCCATTTGTTTCTGAGATGAAGGTTACTGTACTGAAAAAAAAAAAAATTAAGAGACACGGTGGACCTTCTACCTAAAACAGGTAATTGCCACAAGTTAGAGTAAATGCACTTGACATCTACAACTCCATCTTTTTTCCTTTACTGTATGGAATAAAGGGATTAACATTATCAGAGCCCAGTGATCTGCACATAATTGCCTATGAAAACAGAACTTTCTTGGCTAAATTAGTCATGGAAAGGAAGAAAACTATTCATTAAGTTACAGGTGGTCATGAGTCATCTAGTATAAATCCTTCCACCACCTACAATAATTACTAAAGTTAGGGTCCTAAACAAAAGTAAATGATCCCATTGATAATGAGAGACAACACACAAAAACTGAAAGGTACAAATAAAAATTTATAATCTAATTTATACAATTGAAAAAGAATTCTCAGTAGCTCAAATCTGAGGTAAATATGTAAATATAAATTTCATTTTTGCAGACGAAAAGACATCACCAACAAAATACTATTTATCAAATAAGAATGTATTTCTAAAGCAAGATTAAATTTTAAAAATCAAGTTAATTAAAATCTATAATATAATTCAAAGGAAAAAACTGCACGTAAGTAAAAGCTACACCAACAGAATTTTAGGAACAGGAATAACCATTGCGGTTCTTAATGCTCGCTGGACATTATTTCTGATCTAACAAAGTCCAACTTCAGCTCCACTTTCCTATATTTTCTGACTTCTTTCTCAATTTTTATCCACATACAACAAGCATTTCACATGTGTGTCCCCGTTTTTTAAACATCTCACCATATAATCTGTAGATTAATTTTAAAAGTTAAAATTTATTTTGGTAGCCCTGGGGATGTAGCTCAGTGGCACCATGCCTGCCTTGCAAGCACAAGGTCCTGAGTTCAATCCCTGGTACCAGAAAAAAAAAATTATTTTGGTCACAAGGGCTCTTTTTGATATGTGGTAGATACCTTTCAAACCCTCAACCAGGCATGGTGGCACACACCGGTAATCCTTCAGCAGGTAGGAGGCTGAGGCAGGAAGATCGCTGCAAGTTGGTGGCCAGCCTGGGCTACACAGTAGGTTCAAGGCCAGTCTGGAATATACAGTGTGATCCTGTCTCAAAACCAACCAACCAAAAACAACTTCAAAAATAAATCCTCTACTGATGAGAAAGCAAACATTTTTTTATTTGGCTGCAGGGAGATAACAGTATATCTTATAGAGAGAAAAATACTTACATCTTCCGTGTCCTTAACCCGTAAAATCTGTTCCCTTAAATCCTGTAAATCATTAAATGTAGACTGAGCTGTAATGGAATATACTAGTGCAAACCCTTGGCCATTCTTCGTATACAAATCCCTCATCGCTGTAAATTGTTCCTATAAATAAAAAAATTATAAATATATAAATTTTGGAATATATACTGGAATAAATTTAAACAATAATCACAAGTGAGTTCCTACTTTTTTATTACATACTATCACGACAAAACATATGACATAACACATAGTTTCTTTTTTTTTTGAGACAGAGTCTTGCTAGGTAGCTCAGACTGGCCTTGAACTCATGGCAATCCTCCTGCCTCAGCCTCCTGAGTGCTGGGATTACAGGCATGTGCCACCACGCCTGGCTTACATAACACATAGTTTCTAGCAACTCTAAGGTGAATGTTCCGATTCCCTATTTAGGTGATTAGAAAAAATGACAATGAACTGTGAATTAGAAGGAATTCTTAACCACCTCAATTTGCTTTTGAGTAATTTAGAAGAACTAAACTATAATTTCATCATCCAGCACAGACAGACTCAATATCGCTACTGGAAAATTTTATCATCTTGATAATCATTAGACTTTGGGGTTTTTTTTCGTTTTGTTTTTTGTTTTGGTGGCGCTGGGAATTGAAACCCAAAGCCTCATGCATGCTAAGCAAGCACTCTACCACTGAGCTGCATCCCTATCCTAGACTCTGTAACATCATTTTTATGTTTTTTATTTCTTTACCTCATTTAAACCATTAAATTTATCATAAAGATATGAAACTAGTGCAATGACTACCCTCTCCTTTAGCTAATTGTTAACTGTTAACATATGGTCACTGAGCTACAGTCACACCAAATTAAAACTGTTTCAATTTTAAAGCCACTTCCTCTTATTTGATTGATGACAATCACCACTGTATAACTATAGATATTAACTATATTAGACTCTTATTTTAAAAGCCTCAATTTTATACATAGCAGTAGGAAAGGCAAATATAGCATAATATTAAAATGTATATATCATGAGTATAACTATACACTTTGAATCTTCCCATCTCTGGATGGATCAAACATAAAGTCTAAGTCCACAAATTTTGTAAGCTCTTTGTTTCTTTGGCTTGCTGGTTCCCCACCATTACTATCATTATTTTTGTCTACTATGTCTGCAGTTCTAGTTGTTCTACCTTTGCTGATGTACTCAATTTGTATTCCAAGGAGTCAGCTATGCTACCACTCAACCATTTTCCTAACCTCAAGTTCTAGGAGTCTTTGGTGTACCATGGGATTATGACTGAACTTTCTGTGTTGCTGCTAGTGTATTTTCTGGGAAAGATGTAAAAATTAGTGTTTTTCTGGAGTTTTCATTTATAAACTGTTAGAAATTCTGGCACAATTATTCCTATGATGTTCTCTTGAGATCACGGTCTTTGCTACTTATTAATGAAAAGAGTAAATACACAGAGCCAATCTGAGTTTTAAAAATTCAATCTAAAAATAGTTCTTACAGAAGAACTGCTGTGATGGTTTGACCTACTTCTGAAAAATCCCAACTTCTTTCTAAGGACATTCTAGGAGCTTCATCCATTCAACAATTATCCACAGGGGCCCAGTATAGTATGTATCAGACATTGTTAGAATATTAGGGAGATGGTGAACATTAGAATAAAAAATCTCAGGAGGAGTGTGCATGGAGATAAACAAAGATAAAGTATAAAGTATACCAGATAGTAATAAATGTTACAGAGAAAAGTCAGAGGAGGAGAACAGAGAGTTTGTTTGGAGGATGGGAACACAAGGTTATATTTTAAAGGGAAGAGCTCAAAGGTAATAGGAAGGAGGTAAGAAGGTGAGAAAGCAAGCTCTTATCAGTATATGGAGGAAGAGTATCCCAGGCAAAGGTAAAAACAAATGCACAGGACCTAAGAGGGATATGAGAAGCTGTAGGAGGCTGAATTCATTGAATTAGTGAACTACTGGGCAAGCACAGATGTGGCCAGAGAAGGAAAAACCTATCTTAACGAAAATTCTGAGTTTAAAATAACTTTTTAAATGGTGCTAACAGCATATTCCTTACCTCAATACAAAGAAACAGATTCTGCAGGTGAACTCAATTACAATGTAACGAGGCTATGTGGGCATTAAAAATGCAAGTGATCTTACACACCTGAGAAAATTTAAGAAGCTATATATTCAAAGAATTTTTAAAAATCAAAGGATTACTTTTACACAGAAGAATTATTCACATGACAAAATATGCTTGCAAAATCTGGGAAGAAGGAAAGGGAGGAAAGGAGAGAGGGAGGAAAAATAATCAAACAAACATGCTTACTGTCCCTGCTGTATCCAGTATTTCCAGCATACATTGTTGGCAGTCTACTTCAACTTGCTGTGAGGGTGAAAAGAAAAAAAAATGAAAAAAAGGAACATCAAACTGTCATTTTGTTTCCCTTATACCTCTTTATCCAAAATACCAATTAACAACTACAAAGCATTTTTCTAGCAGTTTGCTATGTTGGCTGAGACTAAACTTGGTATCACAAAAAAAGGAGTCTTCAAGCACTATTAATATTTCAGAAGCCAGGATGGTTAATGTTAAGTGGAGATATTTTCTGGCCACTATAATGATGCTTATTTGTTCTTATTAGAAAGCAAATGATCCTATTTTGGAATTTCAGAAAAACTGTAAACAGATTCAACAGTTCTTACAGAAAAAAATGCCATGTATTTATTTGTATCATATTCAGAGGAAAAGCACAAAAGTATTAAATGGTTGAAAATTCATAAGAATCTGGGCACAATGACACAAACTTATAATCCCAGCTATTGGGGAGGCTCAGGCAGGAAGATTACAAGTCTGAGGTGAGCCTGAGCAACTGAGCAAGACCTTATCTCAAAATAAAAAAGGATGGGCCTGGGATTTAGCTCAGTGGTTCTGCCATCTGCCTCGAAAGTGCAAGGTCCTGAGTTCGATCCCGGGTACCAAAAAAAAAAAAAGGGCAGGGGATGTAGCTCAGTGGTAGAGGAATTGCCTAACTTGCATAAGGTTATGGGTTCAATGCCCAGTAGCCCTCCCAAAAAATGCACAAAAGATTTGTGAGTAAAGAAAATTCTGTCAACTACATTCAAGTTGTTAAAATTTTACTAAAATATTCACAACATTTAAGACATAAGGAGATCACACAAGTGTTAAATATCACTGAGCTCATATACTGAAGAAAAGAGCTCTATTTCAGAAAAACTATGCAAAGGGTGAAATTTTATATACTGCATTTTATTTTTCCACTGTCTTATAAAAGAAGAGAAGTGGCCTAAAGAATGTGTCAACTATCAACTGTACGGAAAATTTTTATTAAAGAAATGATTAAGAAAAGTTAGTCCGTCAGTGTTCTATGTACAGATCTTATTTTGTAAAGATTTAATTAGCAACTTTTTCTGGAGAAATTTCAGTAAAGCAACACTGTCCTCTAAAAATAAATGTACTGTTACCCTACAGTCTGTTTTAATTTCTGCTTCTGTGTAAGAGAGCGATTGGGCTGTCCCTCTAATGCACAAGGTGAGTAAAATCTGTAACCAGCAATGTTCAGTGAATAATGAACCATATTCATAGTTTTGCACTGTATCCAGAGCACAATTTTGTTTCCAATTTGAAGACAGTTAAATTATTCTGCCAGTACTTCTTGATGAACTTAATTCAACAAAACTTTTTGACTATTAATGATAAATCCTAAAAATATCTAACAAAGGAATCCTTTCCTATTTGTTGAAAGAAAGGTTTAATATTTGGAGGGAGGAGTTATTTCCTTGGTTATTAGTCTTTTTATAATCCTGTCTTTTTCCTTCCAATATACTTGGAAAACAAAATGGTGAAAATTTTCCATAATTCTAACTAGTCTTATAATTAAATACATTTTTGGCTCAAGACCAACTCTAGTTTTTTCACTCTTAAATAAACTTAATTTTTAAAAGAGCAGTTTTAGGCTCACTGCAAAACTGAGGGGAAGGTACAGAGATTTTCCATGTTTTTACAGCTCATACCATATATAGCTTCTTCCTTCTATCAAAATCCTACACCTGAGGGGCACAGTGTGGCAGAGTGTGAACCTACAAACTGATACATCATTATCACCAAAAGCCCACAGTTTATAGTCTTCTTCTGATATTACACATTCAATGGGTTTTGACAAATGTATGGCATCTATCCCCATTATAGTATCGTACAGATTTTAACTTACTTTTTGGTAGTCAAAAGGTAAAGTATCTTTAAATTTATTAAATTTATTATACAACTCTCTGGATAACTTCAAGTATAAAAGTGATCTTAATTTTTGTTAACAAAAAGTGGCTGAAAATATACTAATATTTCATGTAGTATTTTTTTCTTTTAAAAATTCCCCACTAGGAAATGTATACATTAAAGAACAAATAACAATCAGTACTAGAACATGCAGCTCTCTATACCTTAGAAATGCTTTGTCTAGGGGAAACTTTTAAAAACAGATACAGCACATTCGTATTATTTCTTAAAACTATTTTATTATTTTTAGAAATCACTATGAATTTACTATTTATACAATTGTTAAAAGTATACAAATACAGTGGTTCAATAAATGGAAAGCTCAGAGACTGGTCACCAACACACAGATTGATACAAACATTCTATGTTTCCTGTAAGTGTGATGATGGAGATTAAACACTGGGCAAGAACTTCATAGCCACAGCCTCAAGGGCTTGGGTGGGTCTACTTCCAGTTTCTCAAAACTATTTTTAAAAAGGAATTCCAAGGATCAAGTTTTAAAGACCTAAGGATCAAGTTGTAAACATTTTACCTTTCTGTAGGAATCTTCTATCGTTGGGTCATATTTTTCAACAAAAATTCCTTGAACAAACTGGACTGTCTGGGGGGGGGGGGAACAAAAGTCAATGACTTGAAAGAAAAAAATCGCCCTTCTTGAATGTTAATGAAAGTTGTAAAGATTAAATGAAATTATGTTAAAATGCTGGGTAAATACACAAATGTAAAGAAAAATTCATTTTTCAAAGCAAACATCATACATAAGAGTATACATATTACAGAAAGTGGTCATGTTAAAAACTCATCAATACTACTGCTGCTCAACAATTACTGTATTGTTTTAAAATACAACAAGGGTACGAAAAAACACTCTAACTTATTAAAAAATAAAAAATATATTAGTTCTTCACTTTTTACCTCTTTATGTACCTATAGTAACTATGTAACGTTCTCAAAGGAAAGAGACAAAGGTACTAAATTTTTAGGACTTGCTAATTGTGGGGGAAAACAGAAAAGGGAATTTAAATTTATGAATATCTGTTATGTTCCAGTGAGCTAGTCACTTTTAATTTACAATCACAGCAGATTCATTCATTCTACAAAAAGTTATTTTTCCCATTTGCCAGCTGAATTCAAACTTGTCTCCTTCCTGACTCTAAAGTATTATTACTCTTTCTAATGGAAAACATTGCTTACTCATCTTTTTCAGATATTAGCTACAACACGCCCCCCCTTATCTGTGGTTGTTTCCTGAAATTCCAATTACCTAGAGTTAACAATGATACAAAAATATTAAATGGAAAATTTCAAAAATAAACATTTCATAAGTTTTACACTGCATGCCATTCTGAGTAGTAATGAAATCTGACACCATCCTGTTCTCTTCTACACAGGACATGAATCATCTCTATCGTATCCACACTGTATACACTATCCAACCATTAGCCACTTTGCAGTCATGTTGGCTATCAAGTCAACTGTCAAGGTAACATAGTACCTTATTTTGGTTAAAAGGTCAACCCTTATTTTGGTTAAAAATCGACCCAAAACATAGAAGTGGTGATGCTGGCAACTCAGTTGTGCCAAAGAGACACTGTAAAGTGCTTCATTTAAATGAGAAAGTGAAAGTTCTTGACCTAATGAAAGAAAAAATAATGATATACTTTACTGTACGTTATTGTTCTTACTCCCTTACTATGCCTAATTTATAAATTTAGTGTCTCCATAGGTACAAGGAAAACAGTATATATTGGGTTCAGTACTACCTGTGGCTTCAGGCACCCACTAGGGGTCTTGAAGTATTTGCCAGGCAGAAAACGGAGGGCTACTGTATTTTTATTTCAAAGATTTCTATAAGCACATACTAGAAACAACATATGTTTCCATTCAGTAAATGAGAAAGAAGTACAGAAGATGGTTATATTTCCTAGACAACTTTAAAATAGGAGATGGTGTACTATTACCTAAAGGCAAAGGTAAAAATGTGGACAGAGGTCATCCATACTTAAATTACTAAGGAATATTTTATATACTATTTGAGCTTGAGCTAAATATATTAACTTGAATATAGTAAACTTCCAACTTCTCTTACTAAGCTATTAGTTAAAGGAAATTCTGGATATAATCACACCAAAAGTCTCAATCATAATTTTTCTCAAGTATTTAATCCCTTCAACTTCTTACTATGACATTGTAAATATGAAAAAGTCTGCTATGATTCCTAATGTGTTTAGACTACAGGCTCAGTGCTCAAAATACTATTCATGGAAGAGGGTCTTTGAGGTCATACTATTTTTATAATGATATTAAGACGTACTCTCCTCTCATAGGTTTACAGTGGAGTTTTCCAAAGAGTACTACTGCAAGAGAGTGGATGTAGAAGAAGGCATGAACACCCAACTGCAGACATTAATGAGCCAAATATTAATGAGACTTGCAAAACTGAAAACCTGTCTCATACTTCTCACTTCTTTCTCACTAGAAGTAACCTTTCATTATTTCTCTGAATCTTACTTTCTCAATTCTCAGGGATATCTCATTCTTTCAGAAAGATTTTAATTTTACTGTGCTGGTTTTCATACCAGATCCCTTCTCTCCTATATCAAATTTTCATCTTCAATGGATCATTGCCTCCAACATACAAATATAGTCTATTAACTTTAATCTCCAAACAAAAACCTCACTTAGCCCCATGATCCCTCTAGTTCCTGCCTTTTTTCATATCAAGCTTCTTCAACAGTCTATATGGTAGTTCCTTTTCCGCAAGTCTCATTTACACTTTAACTCACCTCAGTATGCCATAGCACTACTGCTTACCCAAGGCTATTTCTTTTATCATGTTCAACTTCTTCCTTGTTTCCAGATAATTTCTTTCCTCTTTTACACTTGAATTCTGCGCAGTCAAGTAGATATGTTCTTTATAGTAAAGCAGAGTACAAGATATACTTTCCTATGCTAGATTCTCTAATCCTACCTATTCTCTGAAGGTTGAAAGAGCTCAGTTCTTGGCTCTCTCTGGGTCTCTCCTTAGAGAACTTCATTCACTTCTACGGATTTTTAAAAAATCATCTTAACCTACTTACCACCCTTATTCCCAGCAACGCAATCCAACTCTAACAAGTAAATGATATCATCCACCGATTATATAACTTGCAGAGTCTATACATGTCCTCAACCTTTCTTTTTAAATAATCCCTAGTGGCAGACATTTACGTTTCCAACCTCTTGTCACTGTAATGAATTGCAATAGCTACTTTGACTATTATTATTATTATCATGATTATTATTATTATTGAGACAGAGGCTTGATTTATAGTTCAGGCTGGCCTTGAAGTCACGGCAATCCTCCTGCCTCAGCTTCCTGAGTCCTGGGATTACAGGTGTGCACCACTGCACATGGCTTTGTAAGCACTTATCTTGCAAATTCACTTGTTTATCTGATGTATTTACTTGAACATTTCAAAAACATAAAATTGGTTTGACTGTTCCTTCCTTGCTAGACCCCAAATCAAGCCAGCACAAAGCTATGTCAAGTCTACCTCCTACTGAATCCTCAAACCATCTGCATATCTCTTCTTCACTGCCATGGCCCTAAATCAAGTTTCCATAAGCAATAATCTAGTACTCTTAATTAGCTCTCAATTTTCTCCCACATCTAGTTTCTCTTCTGAATTAAACAGAGAATTGTACTCATTAAAATATATATCCAATTTACCTACCTCCACAAAACTCTATTTTTAATGCCTTCTCATTGGTATTAAAAGAGTTCCAAGTTTGTACATGGTCTTCAAGTTATGATCTGGTCTCTTATCTATCAGTTACCTCATTTCCTTCTACTCTTCTCTCTCTTCACTCCTGCCTCACCTATACAGACCTTTCAGTTGTTCAAAGGCTAATTTAGGTCTACTTGCCATGGGCTCTCCCATAACAACTTGTATTTTTCAGAGTATCTCTCTCACAATTACAATCAAGTAGTCTTTAACTGTATATTTATTGTATCTCTACTGATATAAATTGCATGAGAGACTGTGATTAAAATGTTTTTGCTCACTATTGTGACCCTAGTCTGGCACTGTACTTACATTCCTCATTTTTTTTTCTGGTACCAGGGATAGAACTCGGGACCTTGCGCTTGCGAGGCAGGCAGCAGAACCACTGAGCTAAATCCCTGACCCCATACATTCCTCATTTAACAACCGAGTTTAGTACCTAGGACTAGGTTGTTAAATGAACTGGTTGCTAAATGAGGAATTGTATATGGTATGTATAGTCTTCAGAACAAAGAAGTGGTTAAAAGAAATTCTAACCTGATGACTGTTTTATTTGTGTAACTCTTACATGCAGTACTGTAATGTATAACGTAAAACTACAGTACTGTACAGTACAATCAGCAAAAATTACAGTACTGTATAAACAAGGTATACTGTACAAAAGAAGACATGGAGGCTCAGTACAAGATGTACAGAACTATACAAAAAAAAAAGATCATTAGTCCGAGTGGCGGGTTGAAAGTCCAAACAGCACACCTCAGTCCTAAGTCCAAACAGTCATTAAACAAGTAGGTCATTAAATGACGAATATCTGTATAAGAGCAAGAATTATTTACTGAGAGGCTGAAGGGAGGGAAGGGAAATGGGAAAAACAGAAGAAGCAAGACATATCATGTACAAGTACAAATTTCCTATAATGAATTTTATCATTTTATATATATATATCTAAAATGTATCAATAAAAAATTAACATTAAAAAAAGAATTATTTACAGAATGAATATAGCATATATGCAAAAAATAACTTTCAATCCATGTAAGTTTGAAGTGGAAGCAGGGGAGGACTTATTTCAGTAGACTCTGTAATAAAGAGATTCCCCCTGTGTAATGTAAATTCCTTAAAAATGAGATTATAGCCAGGTGTGGTGGTGCATGCAGTAATCTCAGCAATTGGGAGGCTGAGGCAGGAGGATCACTGTGAGTTTAAGTGGAGCCTGGCCTATGTAGCAAGTTAAGGACAGCCTAAACTACATAGTAAGACCGTGTCACACACACAAAAGAGAGAGATTATATTCTTTGAATGAGGAACACTAGTGCTTGACATATAAGACATCTGATAAATATTTGGTAAATAAAAGAATAAATGAACTGCTATGTAAAACAATATATCTTTGCTTACTGAATGATGCCCTGTCCCTTGTAGAATAGATACTAGGTCTAGAAAAAAATAATGTCACATTTTCTCCTTAGTTATTAAAAGTATGAAACCCACTAATGTCAAATTTCTGCTTAAATATACTAGTTAGTTATAGTTAAGTGGCTAACTTACCAGAGCAGACTTCCCCACGCCTCCTGAACCAAGGACCACTAGCTTGTACTCACGCATGATGTGGTCTGTTTAAATACTGACAATCTGAAAAACAACAAAAAAACAACAAACACGGTAAGAACAGCCTAAGAATGTACAACTATCACATCAAATATAGAATTTTATTTTTCCCTTGACCCTATCAAAAGGACAACAAAGGCTACACAATAAAAACCAAGCAGTTTTTAACAGGTTTATAGGACTATTACCAGATATTTTAATTCACCAAGAATCGTCTTTGACAAGGCATCAATTATTAGCCTGTTCATGGTATTGAATGTATAATCCGAAAACAAGATGATTAAAACCAATAATTGTCTTATAACTATAATCATAAGCCCAATTCTGTGTAAAGCCATAATTCAAACCATCTAAGTAGTTTCTTGAAATGTTCACTCAAGTTTTAATATAATGTACATACTATTTTATTTGCTTAAAATGTACTATTTTGTTCATTATTGTATTATAGCTGAGCCATAAAAATGTCTCATTAGAAATTATTAGGCTATGAACAGATCAGAATGAAATTAATATTAGCAGGCATTAATAATATATTTTTTGGGGGGGGTACCGGAATCGAATTCAGAACCTTGCACTTGCAAGACAGATGGAGGAACCACTGAGCCAAATCCCCAGTGCAATAATATATTTCATAAGGCCCAAATTGCTACAGAAAATAAAAGGAATATAACTTTATTTTAAAAGGTAAGACAGGAAATAATTTACCATGGCCATGATGAAGCAACAAGGCTTACATTTTTTACCCATAGTAAACAAAACACTAAAACTTTTCAGACATTGAACAATAAACAAGGTAGGACTGTGTTTTTTTTTGAGACAGGGTCTCACTTTATAGTGCAGGCTGGCCTTGAACTCACTATGTAGCCCAGGTTGGCCTCGAATTTATGGTAATCTTCCAGCCTCAGCCTCCTGAGCGCTGGGATTAAAGGTGTGCACCACCATGTGTGGCAAGATTGTGATTTTTGACAGACGAGAAATAAATGAAGTGAGACCTACAACTGCCCTGGCTTTCTTCTTCTTTTTTTTTTTGGTACTGGGGATCAAACTCGGGTCCTTGCACTTGTGAGGCAGGCACTGGCTGGCTTTCTTCTTGAAGACACTTTTCTGATTGTGATACACAGAGAAAGAACTCAAGAAGAGCTTAGAAGATTACAGAGGAAGTTATACATAGAAAATTCCAGAAATCTGCACATTCAAGTCTGTGGCCAACACTAATAAGCCAGACATAAAGGCTGAAATTCCATGAGGAAAAGCAAAGAAAAAAGATTTACCAACTGAACAATTTCCAGGGTTCACATGGTACAGGGAAATAGGTTTCTGACTAGAAAATTCTTCTTCCTTGTTGAAAAATCAGGAATTCACTAAAATCCTAGGAAGATTCATACTTTAGTAGTAGAACTAAATACTTTAAATGGTACTCTTAATGCTTCCTAACAAAGCTTAAGAACAAGCCTCAAAAGTAAAAGGTTGTTCCACATGTAATCAGCTGCTTATCAGAACAAAGTTCAAAATTCTTTGAAAGGAAGAAAGCAATTCTGTTACTCAATAATGCAAAATTAGCAATGCCTGGCATCAAAGAAAAAAATGAATACACATAGCGAGGTGTGGTAGTGCATGCCTACTGTCTCAGCTACTTTGAAGACTGGAGGCAGGAAGGTTAACTTCAGTCTGTAAATTTGAGACCAGCCTAGGCAATATAGCAAGCCTCTGTCTCAAAAACAAAGCAAAAACCTTGAGAGATGTGAAAAAAAAATATGAAAGAAAATGTGACTGGATCTAGAGTGAAATGAATGAATTAAAACAGCCTCAGAAACAAGATGACCAAATTAGCCAATGAGGACTTTAAAACTGCTATTTTAAATGCTCAAGGATTTAAAGAAAAGCATAATGAGAGAAATGGCAGCCATAAGAAAAAGAACTACTATGACTCAAAAACATTATCTGAAATGGAAATTTTATTAGATTCCATGGGCTTAACTGTACATTTAAAACAACAGCAGAAAAGTTCATAAAATCTGAAGCAACAAAAACTACCCACACCAAAACGTAGTAAAAAGACGATGAAGGACTGGCCACAGTGGCCTTTACTATAATTTCAGGCTCACTTAAACCCAGGAGTTTTGAGGCCAATTTGGGCAGCATAGTGAGCCTCATCTAAAACACATACACACAAGCACACATGCACACACGCATGCGCACACACACAAAGATGGGGGGATGAGAGGAAGCAGGAAAAGGAAGATAGAGAGGAAAGAAAGGAAAAAGGATAGATGGAGGAGGGGAGAGAGAAAAAAATAAAAGAATACAATCTCAAGCCATCAAGCAGTCTAATGAATGTATAACTAGAATGGGAAGAGTACTATTTGAAACATAATGATATAATCTGATAAAAACTATAAATCCACAGATCCAAGAAACTCAATGAGTAGTATACACACAAAGAAAAACCACAGAAAGGTAAAATAATCAAATTCTTGAATAGTTGTCAATCAGAAAAAGAAAATCTTACAAGTCTCCAGGGAGAAAAGTTTAGGTAGGAACAAAGTTTAGCAGATACAAAGGTAAGAAAACATATATCCCTGAAGAAAAGTAAAATAGAAAAAGTACACAACTGCTGCCAATTCTTTGAAGTTCTTACCTTTGACACAGTTAAGGAAAAGAGGAAACTCTATCACATTTTAACTATGTTATCAGGTATAAAACTCTTCCTCAAGCAAGTAGACTCAAATTTGCAATAAAGCTGTAGAATTCCCTCCCTGAGAGAGTAGGGTGTGTAGCGCTCTTGGGGTAGATGTATAGTAGCTTACTGCAGAGGACAGGACTGCTGAATCCAAGTCTGATGTGGGGAATTACTTCCCAAAGTAACCATTCAAGGTTCAAGGAGAATGGGTCTAGAATGAAACACACCAACTCACACCTCTGTTCATACACTGAAAATACAAGAAACAATGAAATCCACAATGTATCTTTTCAAACTTAAAAACATGTCTCAGAAATTAAAACCTGGTAAGTTGGCATGGTGATATGATATCTAATGTGCCAGGCTCTGAGTTAGCATGTGTGTGAGGCTGTCTGTGGCTTTGATTCCCAGCACAACGACGATGATAATAACAACAAAAAAGGGAGGGAGATAGGAAGCAAAAGAAAAACAAAAATTGAAAGAAAAAAAATATAGGTTTCTTGGACTTCTTGAAAAGTGATATAAGACAGGAGAAAAATGGAACATCTTTAAACAAGAATCAATATAGAAAGCTAACTGCAACAAATATATCCTTCAAAAATGAAAGTAAAATAGATTTATTTTCAGATGCCCTTTTAAAAAATTAGGGGGAGAAGTTCACCAGCACAAACTTAAATGGTGAATGAGAGTAAATCTAAAAGATATTTTTTATTCATGTAAAGCAAAACCAATACCACAGGGTTTACATGTATAGAAGGAAAATATATTACAACAATAGTATAAGAGAAAGGAATGGAAATACAATGTTGAAGATTACATCTGAATTAGTACAATGTTTAAAGATTGTCCTAAGCCAAGGATTTAGCTCAGTGGTTCCACTGCCTGCCTCGCAAGCACAAGGACCCAAGTTTGATCCCCCCCGCCGCAAAAAGGTTGTCCTATGTTAAAGATTCATATTTTAAGAGCCACAGCAACCATTAAAATAAAAAAAGTGAAAATTAAAAAAAACTGGTATGGCTAATAATGTAATAGCTGAGATAAATGAAACCTTCTGATAGATCAGCAAGGTGATAAATATATTAATTAGCTTGTTTTCAAAACTCATTGTATGTATGTATCAAAACACTGTACCCCATACATATGTTTAATTCAAAAGAAAGCAAGAAAAATGCAAAGCAGCAGGCATGGTGGCCCACCCCTGTAATCCCAGCACTCTGGAGGCTGAGGCAAGAGAAGAACTGCCATAAATTCAAGGCCAGCCTGAACTATATAGTGAAACCCTGTCTGAAAATACAAACAAACAAAACCACAAACAAAAAAAAAAGCAAGTGAGAAGAAAAAAAAAAACAAACCCAAAGAGAATATAGGACAAACAAAAAACAGAAGCATGGTAAATTAAAAGGCAATCACATCATTGGAAATCATCTAAACGATTCAAAGGCAAGATAAAAAAAAGTGATAATTGGGCCGGGGATTTAGCTCAGTGGTTTCGCCTGCTGCACAAGCACAAGGACCCCAGTACTAAAAAAAAAAAAATTAATTTAAAAAAAAGAAGTGATAACTACTGTATATATTGCTTCAAGAAACAAACTTTTAAATAAGAACACAGGAAAAGTATCATTTATTGATATTAAACTCACCTTTGCTGGGAATATTATTACTATCTGTGCTTTATTGTCTTTATTCAAATTAGAAGAAAATACTAAATTTCACTTAGAAATTAGGGAAAAATAGTTTTTTTGTTTTTTTCTATACAGGTATTGGTGGCACCAAATGAATTCCTACTTATTCCAGATAGTCAGCACTTTTGGTTACTTAGACTGGCTGTTCTCAAACTGGTTTCAGGTCCTGTTTACATTCTGACATTCTCGTGATCATTTGGTTATATAGGTTCTCAAGAATGAATTGGATTTTTTTCAAATGTCTTTTCTGCTCTGTGTATGTTTACTCTTGTAGCTTGTATTTAATATTGTACTAAGCTAGGTATAGTAGGTTCCAGCCTATGCAAAAGGAAGAAATAAAGCTGTTCTCTATTTACAACGAAATGATCTTAAATGACAAACATTTCAAGGAATACCCAAAAAAGTTGCCAAACCATTAAATGAATTTAGCAAAGTTGCAGGCTAAGAGGCTGATGTGAACAAAGCAATTGTGTGTGTGTGTGTGTGTGTGTGTGTGTGTATATATATATATATATAAACTGTCAAAGAACTGAAAAATGAAAAATACCATTTACAAAAGCACTCAATAATAAATAAACCAATAACAGCTGAATTTAACAAAATATATATAAGATCTATGTAGTGAAAATACAAAACATGACTGAAAGTATAGGCTAGTAGGG